TTCTTGTGTTCAGACTGAATGCAGTAAATGTGCTGCTCACAATTGACAGCAGCAACGTGGACCTGTTAAACTGACAAGAAGGGAGTGGATATAGCGGTGTTTAGTCATGACTTCATTGTTTTGAGTCTAGGTGTGTTTCTCATTCTGCTATAGTTTACCTAGTATTTTCTATTAAACCTACCTTACACATCCAGTTGTTTCTCCATTTGTAACTTACCCACCAAAAATCACAGTATGCTGTTTTAAATTTTTTGTTATTTGTGCTTGTCTAATTCCTAAAAAGGAAAAGCAGAAGAATCTGTGCGCTCTCCAATTAGTGATAAAAGTTAATATGGTGCTCTTTGATGTCCCAGGTTTGTGGCATTGATGAATAAATCATTAAACCTTACTTAAAAGTCAGATATTTATATTTTATGGCATATGAATGCATTGTTTACTATTGATTTCTGTAAAACAATGTATTTGTTGGGGTTCAGGTGTTTGACGTGATTCATGGCCGACTAGGTGCATTCTTGTCAAATAAATATGCTTATTCATTCATCATTATGGATACATTCTGCAGTGAGTTAATCTGGATTTGAATCTGCATGTCAACAAGTTAGCTCTGAATTGCTTTAATACACCAGTGAATAGTGACACGATGAATTGAAATAGATTTCACCTTGTTCATATAGTTGGCAGAAATGATAAGGGATTGAATATAGACCTCCACTGGCAGAAGGAGAAGAGGATCTGGTAAAATAAGGCAATGTCACCAATAATCAGCTAGCAAGCTAGCTTCTTTGCAAAAAACGAGTCTAGTATTCATGGCACGTTGTAAATATCTGACTGCTACTAGGATAGTATTCTGTGCAAGACCAAATGCATAAATAAGACAAATATTAGTTAATATGGAACAACATATTGAAAATTTTCATCTATCTTTGGTTTTGGATCAAGGTAGCTAGCTTGCTGACAGCAAAGGTGTCCTTGCAGGGATTTGTAGTCTTGCATGATGTGTACTTTGACACTAATCGAATCTGAGAGTAAATAGAGACTAATATATTGATAAAAGTGACCTTGTCCGAAGAGAGATTTAAACAGTTATCAAAACGTCATGCCAGGGAAAGCCTACATGAAACACAGAAGTGGTTCTAAAATCCCCTATGGGATAATGTATGTAGAAAACACTAATGGAACAATTTCCGTGTTTGACCACTAGGTTTTATGGGTATTATGACGTGTCCACTGTGGGGCTCTACAGAGCTCACCAGCTTGTATCAAAGATTATGGATATACTGACAACATACATGTCTTTCCTCCCTAACAATGGGAGTTGTTGTCCACAAAGCGGCACGGCGGGCTGTCTAGCTCCCGGCTATCCTTTCTTTAAATTGGTGTATAAATCTAATTATTGTAATCCTTTTTTTAAATATTAAATAAGGGTTGTTGAAGTCAACCACCTGTATTCAGTGGCGAGAGATGCTATGCTAATAGCCTCAAGCCATTTAATATGCATAGCCATCTCGAGACCACTCCGATATAAAGTGTTTTTTTTTCTCAAAGTTGCCGGGATGTCACGTGTCCTACTTATATCAGTACACTCGTAACAACTTAAGCATTATGAAACTTCTATTCGATCAAATGAACCTCACGTAGCAAATAAGCTACTCCTTTTTTTGTTGACCAAATTCGACACCCATTGACCTCCATACAAAAACTCCTTGCTTGGTGGGCGAAACGAGGGAGACAGATTTTCCACCGAGTTGGGCCTCTCTTCCTCTCTGCTAAAACCAAGAAATAAGTTACCACTGGGGTTGACACAGGCTTAGGAGATCTTATCCGTTTTGTTCTGAGATAATCAGTCAGTTAACATGACCTTTATGAATTATTAGCCTATGTGTTATTGGGGATTTATCATTCTCCTAAATTGATGGGATGACTAACTTAGAAAGAATGCATTCTTGACTGGGCTAATGTAGGCTGTGACACCTGGCAAGGCTGTGATTGATGTGAAGAGCTGTTTTAGGGGGTAAAATGAGATAAGGATGTGTCTTCAAATGCTAGACTATACTGGTTCTTTGTGATCTGTGAGCCTTCCTTGGACGTAGGAATGATGTCTAAGGGAGCTGGCTCTTCTCACTATGATAGGTTGTTATGATAAACTTGTGCCTGGCTGAAGTGTGCAACAAATGGCGCCGAGGAGATGAGACCAACCCCTGAACCAACGGATAGGCTGAGTAAGTTTAAACCACTCTCAAGTCTCTACTCTAATTGGCCAGCAGAGAAGTGGGAAATTCCCTCTGTCAGAGTATTTGAGTATTGGATCTGGAACAATGTCTTTTAGTTCTCTGGGGTGTCCTGCGAGGCATCTCAGAGAGCCCGTATATACGAAACATCATATTTACCATTGAAGGTTTTTGCATTAATTAAAATAACTAGTATATCTTAGAAGTTGTGTTGACCTCTTTTGTTCCTAATACCAGATTTGAATTGACGCGACTTTGACAGTGTGATTTGTGTTTTATTATTACATAAATTCTTCAAAAATCACAATGTTACTAGCTGATGAAGATTATCTCATAGAATAAAATGTATAAGATCTCCTAAGCCTGTGTTTACAACATATCTTATTTTCGGTGTTTATCCAAAAATCCTACAAAAATGCTATTCATTTTCCTCATTGGATTTGTCCAACGAACCATGGCGGAGTTAGTGCCTACAAAGACACCATTACTCCTGAGTGGCGCAGTGGTCTAAGGCACTGCATCGCAGTGCTAACTGTGCCACTAGAGATCCTGGTTCGAATCCAGGCTCTGTCGCAGCCGGCCGCGACCGGGAGACTCATGGGCGGCGCACAATTGGCCCAGGGTAGGGGAGGGAATGGCCGGCAGGGATGTAGCTCAGTTGATAGAGCATGCCATTTGCAACGCCAGGGTTGTGGGTTCGATTCCCACGGGGGGCAAGTATAACAAAAAATATATATATGTATTCACTAACTGTAAGTCGCTCTGGATAAGAGCGTCTGCTAAATGACTAAAATGTAAATACTATTTCTCTCTATTGCGGCCAGATAGGACCCAGAGGACATCTGTTGTGCTAGTGTATAGGCCTGGGCATTCTTATCAAAGCTCCAGCAATAAAAGGCATACAATGGCAAACTGAGGAATAACAAATTCCAAACAATATGCACATATTACAGTATGTGGCTAGTCCGGCGTTTCCCAAACTCGGTCCTCTGGACCCCAAGTGGTGCACGCTTTGGTTTTTGCCCTAACACTACACAGCTAGTTCAAATGATCAACGCTTAATGATTAGTTGATTATTTGAACCAGCTGTGTAGTGCTAGGGCAAAAAACAAAATGTGCACCACTTGGGGTCCAGAGGACCAAGTTTGGGAAACTCTGGTCTAGTCAGTGAGATTATTTTTTATAACTGGATAAATGGTGGAGCTGTCCTTCAGCACCAACATTTTGCCCACCATTTGTGGCTGAAATGACAGACTGTAGCCTTCATGAAATGTTGCATTACATTTTTCTGTTCTACTTGTTAATTGTTGCTTGTGACTGTTTTTGCTGCTATTGACAGGCCAACCTCCCTGTTAAAACTATTAAAGAGATTAAAATAAATGTATTGGTAGTCTGGTAAACGTGCATTGGTAGTCTGCAACCACATACCTCAATGTTAACTTTTCTTACCCTGAACATTCCACATTCAATCCATTTAAAATAGTTGTACAACCACACTTTTACATATCTTTAAAAATGGATTGTATTGGCGCCAAAACTCGAAGCCATCTATAACTGACAGACATCATGCAATTTCTGCCTGGGTTAATCCTCTGTAGCTCAATTGGTAGAGCATGGCGCTTGTAACGCCAGGGTAGTGGGTTCGATCCCCGGGACCACCCATACCTAAAAATGTATGCACGCTTTGGATAAAAGCGTCTGCTAAATGGCATATTATTATATTGTTAATCCCTTATCAAAATTAAAACGGATCCGCTGATCCAGCGTGGGTTCTGCCGCTTTAGCCATACTGTCACTCTGTCATCAATACGTCCACTCCTATTTATAGAGTTTATCTCGTGATCTCGACAACCACATTTGTTGCCATTAGCTCACAAAGAGTCATTTTGAGGGAGATGTCTTCAATTTGGCATAAATAGTACCGAGACTAGCTACTCTACTTCCAGTTCTCTCATTCAATACACTACCCATAACACCTTGCGGTCCTTACGGAAGCCCTTTTCTTCCCTTCCGCCGTAGTCGACTCCTTCCTAAAATTACACAGGCCGGTGAGTTATCAATATCTATGTCCATCTACTGGTTTAGAAGACATAATAAATAATGTTGACATCAATAATCACCCACGCAAATTCAACATTCAGAAGTTATCGAATAGTATAGACACTGCACATTTTTAAGCCCTCAAATGCCATGGTTTCGACCGGCTTGCATTCCCAGGGGCTAGCTAGCCTTCCTAATATTATAACTGGCTAGCTACTGTAGCTATGTCTCTCTACAGTGTGGCCGACACGTGTTTGTTCTATAAAATATAAATCACGCTTTAATTTAGTATAGTTTTTATGACCGACGGTAAGGTTTTAGGATCACCCTGGAATTCACATCACTGCTAGTTAGCAACTTTGCCAATTACCAGACTAGCACAACGCAGCCAGCGAACAATGTTTATTGCTGTACTGTTACCTAGAACACACTTGCTACTTCAATGCGATTGACTTGTCCCAATTGTAAAGGTAGTGTCGAGCTGTCTGACTAAAGTTAAGTACCTGTAGTTTGCTATTGTGTTAAAGGGGATGCATGAGCCATCTACTGCTAGCTAGCTTTCTAATAATGCGAGTTGTTGGCTTTTAGTTACTAGTCATGTAACTGTGACTAACATCACAGCCACTAATTTGATATGCAATTATTGTTGATAGTGTTTGTTTTTTTTGTTGCCAGTTGTAGTTGTTGACAGTGTTTCATGTTAACAAATTACATTTTACTCTCTTTCTGGTCAGGTCACCATGGCAGCCCTCCGACCTCTTACCAAGCCGAAGATTGTCAAGAAGAGGGTTAAGAAGTTCATTCGCCATCAGTCTGACAGATATGTCAAGGTCACGGTGAGAGCATTTGCTACACGCATAACATCAAAGATGATAGAGCTCCATTTATTAATATATGGGTGCGTGTTGTGTAATTTGTAGAGCGAGCTACGCTTTTCAGACATTACACATGCAGAGAGGCAAAGGACATTGATATCCCTCGAGCATAGTAGTTGAAAGTAACGTTGATCATAACTGCTTTAGTAAGTAACATCTCTTCGTTTGTCCCCCCCCTCCAGAAAAGCTGGCGTAAGCCCAGGGGTATTGACAACAGAGTCCGCAGGCGGTTTAAGGGCCAGATGCTGATGCCCAACATCGGTTATGGTAGCAATAAGAAGACCAAGCACATGCTGCCCTCTGGCTTCAGGAAGTTCCTGGTGCACAACATCAAGGAGCTCGAGGTCCTCATGATGAGCAACAAGTACGTTTTGTTGGGCGCCCTGTATTATTCCGCTTGGGTCTATTTGGCTTGTTTATTCAAACAAGTATCATTAGATACGCAATAACATATGATGTAAAACAAAGTTATCCTGGTCTTCTTTCTGAAGGTACTACATACAACATGGGTAGGGCCAGTTATTTTGTGGGGTTTTTCATTAACCAGAATTTCCAGCATTATCCACTAGGTTTGCTGCAGGTAAAACATCCTAGGAAATGTTTAATGGACACAAGCTGTCTTCAATCAATCAATGTCTAGTTGTTTGTGAGTGTTTGGTGGGGGGATCACCTAAGCCAGGGGAGGCGTAGCTCTGACTCTTAATTGCACAAAGCCTATTATTTGGCAGGGAATACTATTTGTAGATAAGTGATTCTACACCCCACTTTGCTCAAGCTGAACCAATCCAACAGATAGTTGTATCTAAAAATGCAGACCTGCCAGCCTGCATGAATTTGACGTACCATGCACTCAATTTGAAGTCCAAGTACACTAGTACGAAAAACTACCCTAAAAAAAGCAAAAATAGGCTTCTAGTTGGCACATTGTGGTTTTTGACTCAACCGTCTGTTATAGCTGAGGCAATCAGAGGACTTGGTCGAGGAGGAAAACATCTCTAGCTCTCCCCATGTAGTTGTAGTACTATCAAAGTTGGTGGATAAATGAAGATAGTTCTCCGGCCGTTTACCATTGGGGAAAAAATTGGCAGTACCTGTCTACTTAAGAGGGTGGGTCTCCCATAGACACCAATGCGATAGCAGCTGGGTCTGGTCTACTTAGTTAATTGACTTCAATTGAACCAGAAAAAAGCAGCTAGTGGGGTTTCTTCCTTTTCTGTCTCTGGTACCATTTTCCTCCCTTGAGCTGGATGGCTGTTCTCCACTTTGTCAGTTGATGTCACTGATGTGAAGAAAAAGGTTAGGGAAAATTGAGAACAAACTGTTTGCCAAATAGATTTTACAAAGTTGTATGTTTGTCAAGTACATAACCACTATTTTGTAGTTAGCTAGTTAGCTACAGCGTTGTTTAGTCAACTAAGTGAGAACACTTCCTTGTCCTCAACGGTAGTGTGCACATGCGCATTGACAAGCAAGGAAACGTAGTTCACTGCGTGGATGGAAAAAGACTAGCTGTTCCGATAAAACCGTCCTTCACAGAAAGTTACGTTAGACTGTTAAAGATTAGTAGGCCTATGTTTATTAATCATGTATTGATCTTTCCTCTTGATATAGATGTATGTCAACAGTAGGCTTCTAATGATGTGATAATAGCCGCTTTACCAATGACAATGAATGGTAGCCCAGTAGTCAAGACTAAGTTGATGGATTAGGTCGGGAATGGAGATCTGAAACAAGCTCATATAGGCCTAGTTCAGTTGTTTCATATTCCAAATAGCCTACAGTAAGGTAGACCAGGGTTTCTCTAACTCTGTCCAGCGGCCCCCCAGGGTGCACATTTTGGTTTTTTCCCTAGCACTACACAGCTGATTCAAATAATCAAAGATTGATGATTAGTTGGTTATTTGAATCAGCTGTGTAGTGCTAGTGCAAAAATGCTCTGACTTCCTGGGGGGGAAGTTGACTGACACCCCCCTACCCAGCCTACATCAGCATCACCTTGTCAGAGAATCCTAGGGAGAGCCCTGATTTGTAAATCATTTGCCTATGATTTGAGCAGTGTGGGGTCCGCTGCAGGGCTCCACATTGCGACCATTTGACTTGCATATGCGCCTAAAGACTTTGCTGTGCGACCTGGAATTTTAATTTAGGAGCACCAGTGCGCCTAGAAAAATTAAAGATGCACTATGCAGTAATCGCTCCGCCATTTCCTGGTTGCTAAAATTCTAATAGTTCGCCTAGTTTCAGTTTGTGTCAAAACAAGCAAGTAGAGTATAGAGAATCATTGTGCCATCTAAACCGCTGTTTGGAGCTGGTGTACAAAACCAAAAGTAAAAGATGCAAATACGAAACTTAAGCGCGGGAAGAATTGAAATAGCGCACATAGAACAGATCTACCGCTTCTTAGACTTGCTTTCAATGAGAATGACAGATCTATAACTCACATTTCTATGTGAATTCTGTCCGGTCGGCCAAAAATACGTATTGCAGCTTTAAGGATTCTAGCTTTATAAAATGTTCATTGTACTCCTTACTTGGGGGCACACATGCTCCTTGAAAAAAAAAAAAAAAAAGTCTGCATAGAGCCCTGCGTGGGCCGGTAGTGCTGCCGCTGCGCTGAAGTGATACTCACAAACAAAATGCAGGGTTGGCAGGTCTGAAAATGGGTCAATTAGGGGCAGTTCAAGCCAACACCTTAACCGTTACGCCTATCCCCCCCACCAAACATTGACACAACCAGACATTGATTGATTGGAGACAGCTTGTGTCAATTTAAGAACATTTCCTAGGATTTTCTACCTGCAGCAAACCTAGTGAATGATGCTGAAAATAACAGCCCCCCCCCCCCCCCAAAAAAAACGACCCCAAACAAGTGGCCCCAAACAGGGCATACATGCAACACTACAGGGTTTGTATATAGAGGTGCGAGCATAGTTGAAGAGGAGCGCTTGAATCTTGCACGTACACAAGGGTCCGTAGTGAGGTGCTACAGAAATTACATCTATAAATCACCTCTACCCACCTTATGATGGAAGGATCATCAAGGATGCACTGTGCCTACCTTCATGAGTCAAGTAGATTGCTTAGATTTTCTAGTCCTGGGAACCCACAGTTCTAGACCTGTACTAATACACCTAGGAGAACCATTTGAAACAGGGAGGTGCAACCAAGTTGATCATATGTTCTCTATTGCAAAATGGTTTGCTGTGTGTACCTACTGAACACAACCCTTATTCAACTAATTGTCAAACCTTTAAGATGAAAATGTTCAGAATGTTCCAAACAGGAGTGAATGTCTTTACATTCATGAGAGAATACATTTTCAAACAGCTTCCATTTAGTACCTTAATGTTTGAATCTGTCACTAGACATTGCACTAATGATGCAAATGTCCAAAATATTTTGCAGCAAGGCACAGAGGGATTGTTCATATGCTTGCTTTCACTAGTGGCAGTAGCAAATTTGGCTTTGCTCATTATAATAATTTAGGTTTGTAGTCAGTGTTCATGCTGTTATGTCCTGTGGCTCTGTAACGTGAATAAACTCAGTTATGCATTAATGGTACTGTAGTGGAGCACCTGGTGGACTGTATATTCTTAGGGTTTTCTTATCACGTAATGTGTGCTCTCACAGGTGCTTGTAAGGGCACAAATTACAGATGGGGAGGATTCCAGTTAAGTTTGTTTAATGATGCTGATTCACACAGAGCAGGAATGCAAAGCACATTTTATGGGCTAAGCCACTTTAAGGCTTTGATAGATTGTAATAGCCAACTGTTGTGGTTTGGAAAATAAATACAGTAGTAAATAACAGTTTCTAATACATCCTATGTGCTATAAACAATAATATACATGTAACAACTTAATTGTATAGATGACAACGTGACTTTCTTCACAAATAAAGTTCAGAGGTGCCACTGCCATGCACCACAAGGAGAACAGTTATCACCCAACAGAATAAACTTAAAATGTATAGCTACATCCACAAGGCTCATAGCTAACAAAATACCCACATAATCTGTGTAGTATACATCCATACAACCACAGGGCATATAAACAAGGCACTGGTGGACATTATGCTATACAAACCCAATGCTAAATGTCTGAAGTAATGGCAAGAAAAAAACAAAGCTAGCAAGCTTGGTAAGTTAAAAAATTAGCATATGAAAGGAATATGACATTAACGTCACAGAGTGCGTACACAAACACACACGAAGAGTATGAAATATGTACTCTCATCCTATGACGGACGCACACAGGCCTTGGCCAAAACAAAGAATGCCAACTAAAGAGAAAGCATGAAATAGCTGGAACTTATCACTTGACTTTACTTCTCTAGCTGGAGATCGCCCACAATGCCCTGCTCCACTTGGCCGGTGGGCAGAGCCACAGCTCTTCTATGATGATGAACTAATATTTATTATGAGTTGATGGTTAATTATTTTCATAGCCTTTCGTACTGCAAACATCTAGGCTAGGTACCTTGAAAAGAATTAAGTTGGGTAGATTAATACATTCATTATAGCCTAGATAGAATACCAGAAATGAAAGATCAATGGATAGATTGTCTGACGTGAAACCTTTTGGTTCAAAATCCAAATGTTATCCATACATAACTTAACCTAATTGGTACAAAAAAACGCTTCAAGGTAGTCAGCGATGTGTGAAATAAAAAGCATAATCGGGCCAATTTACATAACTAAGATGGTTGTAGCGTGAGTATCTGCTGTTATGGTCCCATAGCTATCACGATGTAACAGCGTGAAGTGCACCTGTACTTATGTGCAGATACTCAGTCGGACTATGTGAGAGAAATATCTGCAGTGCTGCTTGTGGCAACATAATGCTGAGTCTCACCATATGCTAAATGGCAGGGTTCCCCAACTGGCTGCCCGTGGGTGGTTTTATTTGGCGCCCCAAGTTTTCTCACCCAATTGTTTTTTCAAATTTTTTATATATACATTCATTCATTCATTGTTGGACATAAACTGTGGAAATAAGAAAACCAGCTCTAAGCGATTGTTTATTTTATTTTGGAAATCTGTTTCCAAATATTCCCACGTGTAAGAGATGTACAGTGCGTTCGGAAAGTATTCAGACCCCTTGACTTTTTCCACATTTTGTTACTTTACAGCCTTATTCTATAATGAATTAAATCGTTTTCCCCCCCTCATCAATCTACATACAATAACCCATAATGACAAAGCAAAAACAGGTTTTTAGAATTTGTTGCACATTTATTAAAACTGAAATATTACATTTACATAAGTATTCAGAGCCTTTACTCAGTACTTTGTTGAAGCACCTTTGGCAGCGATTACAGCCTCGAGTCTTCTTGGGTATGACGCTACATGCCTGTATTTGGGGAGTTTCCCCCATTCTTCTCTGCAGATCCGCTCAAGGTCTGTCAGGTTTGATGGGGAGCGTCACTGCACGGCTATTTTCAGTTCTCTCCAGAGATGTTCAGTCGGGTTCAAGTCCGGGCTCTGGCTTGGCCACTCAAGGACATTGAGACTTGTCCCGAAGCAACTCCTGCGTTGTCTTGGCTGTGTGCTTAGGGTCGTTGTCCTGTTGGAAAATTAACCTTCGCCCCAGTCTGAGGTTCTGAACGCTCTGGAGCAGGTTTTCATCAAGGATCTCTCAGTACTTTGCTCTGTTCATCTTTCCCTCGATCCTGACTAGTCTCCCAGTCTCTGCCGCTGAAAACATCCCCACAGCATGATGCTGCCACCTCCATTCTTCACCGTAGGGATGGTGCCAGGTTTCCTCCAGATGTTACGCTTGGCATTCAGGCCAAAGAGTTCAATCTTGGTTTCATCAGACCAGAGAATCTTGTTCTGAGAGTCTTTTAGTGCCTTTTGGCAAACTCCAAGCGGGCTTTCATGTGCCTTTTACTGAGGAGTGGTTTCCGTTTGGCCACTCTACCATAAAGGCCTGATTGGTGGAGTGCTGCAGAGATGGTTGTCCTTCTGGAAGGTTCTCCCATCTCCACAGAGGAACTCTGGCGCTCTGTCAGAGTGACCATCGGGTTCTTGGTCACCTCCCTGACCAAGGCCCTTCTTCCCTGATTGCTCATTTTGGCCGGGTGGCCAGCTCTTGGAAGAGTCTTGGTGGTTCCAAACTTCTTCCATTTAAGAATGATGGAGGCCAGTGTGTTCTTGGGGACCTTCAATTCTGCATAAATGTTTTGGTACCCTTCCCCACGTCTCCACACAATCCTGTCTCGGAGCACTAAAGACATTTTCTTCGACCTCATTTCTTGGTTTTTGCTCTGACATGCACTGTCAACTGTGGGACCTTATATAGACAGGTGTGTGCCTTTCCAAATGATGTCCAATCAATTGAATTTACCGCAGGTGGACTCCAAGTTGTAGAAACATCTCAAGGATGATCAATGGAAACAGGATGTACCTGAGCTCAATTTTGAATCTCCTAGCAAAGGGCCTGAATACTTATGTAAATAAGGTAGAATTTATAAGGTTAGAATAAGGCTGTAACGTAGGGAAAAGGGGAAGGGGTCTAAATACTTTCAGAATGCACTGTGAAATAAAATGTAATGTCACATACTTGGTAGACAACAGGTGTATACTAACAGTGAAATGCTTACTTACGGGTCCTTTTCCAACAATGCAGAGGATGAGAAACATTTAATTGATCGTATACAAATGTAAACAAGGTTTGAAATGATTGTTTTAGTCAAATGATATCTGTTTGGGATTCTTGTGGTCAATTTGCGGTCTACAAATTATTCTACAAAGTTATTTACCCATTCAGATATAGTGTAGTGGCAAGAGGAATTGAGTCAAATTGTTTTCCTTTCTGTGCCACCAAATGTTTGCATATAAGTTGCTGGTAATGTTACCAGGGCCACATTCAGTTGCAGAATGTTGCAGATAGAAATTCTAATGAATAGAGCCAACGTTATTCCTTATTCAACATGTCAGCGAGGCATTTTGGTCTACATAGCATATTTCGATCTGAACGTTCCAAAACATTGCGGACTGCTGAACTTGCCCCAGGTTGTTAGCTATAGCTAAGCCAATGAGGTAACATGACAGAGCATGGTGTAGCCTAAACAAATGGTTAACGGGCAGTTCGGCAGGTAGCCTAGTTTTAGAACGGCCTGCAATATGCTTTATGAATGTTAAATGCGACCTGCCAATGCACGATAGAAAGACAAAAACATAGCGGAGGTATTATGGGTAATATGTTTTGATCTGTAAGGGCTAGAGTCAAGCTGTTTTTTCTGATGAAAAGACCGACTTGGCTACGTTGGCTACTGAACCTGGCTATGAAATATAGAGGGGAAAGTGGGCGGGTTAAGCGAGACTACAAATGTAGACTGTTCTATACTCGAGGGAGAGAAACATACCTATACTGTTTTACTATTAAACTCAATGCTGCTATTTTTTTTAAAATTTCGTAAAGCAGGTTGTGTTTCTTAACCAAGCGAGGGGTAGCTAACTAGAAGGCTGGTGGTGACTGGTTAGCTACACGGAAAGCAAGAGATGCGCCTGCGCGATGAGTATAATCGGAGGCGGTGCCAGAGCAGAGCCGGTTAGTTCTTTTCTAGGTCTATTTAGTCAGTTATAGTCTCGTTAATTGCCACTGAAAAACAGGTGTTTGACGAATATATTAGTAACTATTTGTTGACAAGTTATCCTGCTCTCACCTTCTCCGTAGGACTCACGCTGCTGAGATCGCCCACAACGTGTCTTCCAAGAACAGGAAGCTGATTGTGGAGAGAGCAGCCCAGCTGGCCATAAAGATCACCAACCCCAACGCCAGACTCCGCAGCGAGGAGAACGAGTGATCCAGCCATTATTTCTCAATAAAACAGATGTTTAAATGTATGTTCTCCTGACTGTTTTTATTTTTCTGTTCCAAGACTTTGCTATAGCTAGGCTGTGTTCAAGTTCTCTACCCTTTTCCCCAGATTGTATTTGTATAGAAGCAATGGATGAAAGCATGGGTGAGGGAGTTTCCACCATATTCCTGACACCAATCCACCCTTTAAAGTGGAGAGTACACACGTGGGCAAAGGGTAGAGAATTGGTCTGGTTTAGCATGACTGGTTCAGATGGTTCTGAGATTTATTTGAGAACCATTGAACGTGTGAAGTTCCCAGTGCACCTTTGTGAGAAGGGTTATGAAAGACATCTGTGGGTTAGCTCAAAGTTTTTGTTCAAGAAGTAACTTTTTTTCATACAAAATCCAACATACTCATTCCTACCTGTTAGACAGTCCTATAGATCAGACAGGGTTGCATCTGAAAATGAAGACCACATTTTGTTATTTAGAATATTTCAATATCACTAGCTAGGTTTCCATCCAATTTGTGACAGATTTTAATGTGATATTCTACAATATTTATGCTGGTTGCGTTTCCATCAAATTGACTTGTTGCGGATAAAAGTCTGTGTGATGCCGTAGTGCACATAAATAACTTTTGAGGTTGAATTCCCATGTACCGAATAAAACAAATACTAGTTAAATGGGTTTCCATTGCATTTTCAACTGATGGTTTTGTCAGAAATGTTGCGTTATATAGAGAATGTGACATCTCTTCTCTTGGCACGTGCACTCTAGAGAACAGCTCGCAGAAACTGCGGTTATAGCCTACGTTATGACATTATTGACAAAAGAGCAAGATTATTTTAATTTGTCAAACGGCAGCCAAGCATATTGGGAAGGAGCATTAAGCTCATCACCTTGCACTTTCACCAAACCGATGATGTTCATAACTTTTTTTCATCTGTAGCCTAATAAACTGCATGCTTTCCCAAGTTGTAGTCGGGGGGACTACATGTCATCGTGTGACTCCCAAGTTTTACTTATGTGATGGTTGTTATATCAATATTTGCCTATAAAAGCTTTTCCACTGACATTTCTCGCATAGTTCATTTTACAGACACAAAGATTCCACCTTGTCTATTGTGTTTTGTTGACATTTGGAAAGTTTACGACGAATGTGCTGTTTCCATCAGGCCTGTCGTGACTTGGGATAGCACCATACTTGTCCCAAGTGCATCAGTGTGATTGTCGTGCTAACAGCCTTGTGGCACTTCAGCTGGATGTGCTGTCATCCGGTGGTCCTCTGTAGCTCAGCTGGTAGAGCATGGCGCTTGTAACGCCTGGGTAGTGGGTTCGATCCCCAGGACCACCCATACGTAAAAATGTATGCACACATGACTGTAAGTCGCTTTGGATAAAAGCGTCTGCTAAATGGCATATTATGTTATTATCCTTGCCAACACCCTGTAGTGATCCATGCTGCGCCTTAGCCCCGTTCTGACCACATAGGATCTAGATAGGAAAGCAATGGAAACTTGTATGAAAGATGTCTTCAACTTCCAACTGATATGCTCCCAACAGGGATTTATTATGAGGCTCGGAGTGGTTGAATCCCCTTTAGGATCTTTGAAGATCTTGAAGGAACTTCATAAAAAAAGATATGTCTGGGAAATTAAACAACTACTCGATCATCATGAGTTTAAAGCTCATCTGAAGAGACCAAAACCAGATGCTTTCAAATCAAAATTCATCTTGATTCATTTGCAAATATATTGTAATTTAAGACACTACTTTGTTTTGAGGATTATGCAGAATGTATTAGATGAAACCAAAGCAGTTTGCTTTCTTCTACACAAATTACTTTCATTTCTTGTCTGCTTATGACAATTGTATGTTGGGACTCATAAATTAAAGTAATTTAATGCAGACAATCGCATACAGTATTTTGTTGGAATTTACAGAAAATAACATGTTTAGATGCCCTCGTCAATCATGCACATTCACGCTGCAATTCTGAAATGCTATGTTTGGGCATGAATAAACAGCCAGTGTCTACCGCCAGCCACCTGGGGTGAAAGTTTCCATTGCCTTCTGGCAGGCTTTGCCATCTCTGCAGCCTTTACCTCCCATCCATCTGTTCATGTAAAATACTCTCTGCCAGTGATGCAAAACACAAACAATATAACATGCATTATATTTACATTATCCTACCTGAAATGAATAGCAATGGATGGCGTCATGTTTTTGTTTGCATGTAGTTTTAATTTCACATTTTGTGTGTGTGTTACAAGAGAGACGGACACTGATGGGTTTATAAATATGCATAGGTTTATGAATATGCATATTCACTGTATATTTGATCTTTCCTAGGATCTGTTTTTTTCCTATTCTCCATCAGTGTCCATTTGTAGGCTTATTCAGACACACCTGAGAATGTTGGAACTCCTCCAGTTAGGGTGGGGATTGTGAAGCGACAGCAGGACAGAGCTAGAAGAAACAGTGTGAGGTAAACAGAGAGCGATCGAAAGGAGAAAGCGAGAATAGTGTTTTTACTTTAAGTGGCTAGAGAATGAATATGTCAGGCAGAGTGATATATGGAAAGGGACGCATGGCCAACCCAACGCTTATCACCCTGGCCTCTCAGACAGAGTCCATGAGGAAAGGAGGAGCGCGAGGAGGAAAGAGGAGGATGTTCTCCTTTTCACTCCGGTGTCGGCTCGGGGTCATCAGAGGGAGGACCAAAGGTAATGTTTACGCAACAATGTTTATGAATACTGGTGATGGCAGAGCACACATTGTTTATTTTTCTTTATAAAAGCCAAACTGACCGTAGTTAATTGGGGTTTTTATACTGCTGTTGTATCTGCAGCTACATGCTCCAGCCTGAGATACAGTCTCCTGAGAGGGTGCAGCAGTTGTATCAGCCTGGCACACAGGTTGCTATTGTACATTAGTCAAGGTATATCCCATGGGATGTTTTGGAAGGATTGTATAAGCCTAAGGTATACCAGTATATGCAATAATGAAAGAGATTATCCTTTTCAAATGTAACAATGGGCCAAGTGTGAGAGCTGAAGTGCCCCCAATATGATCCAGGTGGCAATAACACAATAATAACCTATCAGTTGCTTTTTTTTTAATAAGGGATTTGCATTCTTTATTTTTTATTCTTTATTTTTTTCAGTGAACAATTATTTATTAGTTTTCCCGTGTTTGTCATAGACAATTTAAAATAACAAGAAACAGTACCTAGGACTATACCTAGAACAATATCTAGAATTTATCTTCTCATGTCTATTTTGTTTTGTCAAAATCAATAGGATAACTTAGCTTAAACGTGGGATGAGTCATTTAATGGAGCCATATTTTACCTTTGGTTGATGTTTGAGCTACCTTGCAGGTGAACATTGTATTATGATTGTGTGATCATATCTCTGAATTATGACTGAGTCATGTTCACCACATCTGGGTCTGTCTTGTAGCCTAAGTAATTCCGTGATCGGTGTGTTGACTCAAGTGTCTGTCATCCCTACTGCATTCATTTGGTAGATTTATTAGTAACTAAAGCTTATAGCCATAAGATGGCAATGTGATCAGTTGCATGTTAGAAAATGTACCCAGCTACCTTTGGCTGGAGAATAGCTCATAGTATAGCTTTTACTGTACTTTCAATGTATGTGAGAGCTTATTATTTTAGAGGTAAGTGAAAATGTAATATCTTATTTAACTTAGTTCTAAATGAGCATTGTAATATATTACTAATTGGTAGTGTAAGGCAATAGCACTGTTTTATACACATTTAAACAGCCAAGGATCTGTTGAATCTAGAATCGATTGCATATTGCTTTCTAGCTCAATTGGTAGAGCATGGCGCTTGTAACGCCAGGGTAGTGGGTTCGATTCCCGGGACCACCCATACGTAAAAATGTATGCACGGATGACTGTAAGTCGCTTTGGATAAAAGCTATGTGTAATTGATTCTCTGGTCTAAACACAGCATTTATTCTACTTCACAGAACTACACTGAGTGGGGGTGCTTCTACTACTATACATAATTACCCTAGTTGTGTTGCGTAGTGTGTTCTGTTTCCCTGGGTTTTTAGAAGACCAACAAACAGCTCTGCGTCTCCTGTTCCTCTTTATTCTGTAAGAAATTAATTTGTTTCACTCTGAAACACCAGAGTAAATGGGGTATTAAGGACGAAACTCTCTGAGGAAATTATCTATGCCAAAGAGTATTTGGTCCACTGGAAAGAGCCGACTAATGAGGAGACATGCTACAATGGCGAGAACTTCTTCTACAGTGGAGAGAACACTTTGTTTGTTTGTAATTGTTTGATGTGTCTCTGGTCAAGGAAATGCATCAGACTCAATAAATCTATACATTCTTGGGATCAAGAATGTATTTGTACTGCACATAAATAATTGACTAGCTTGTCAAGTTGTACTTGAGCTCATCCTCACATCTGTGTGGACTTTGAAGCTGTTGTGTGGACTCTAGTTCATATTTTTGTCTGTTTTCTAAGATCTTGTTTAGTGCTTTTGTGTGTCCTTTGACGCCATTTCCCTACTCTCAGACCTGACTATGACAGATTTTCATGCCTTATAGGGGGAAAGAATGGAGGGAGGGGGGTGGAGTATGTGAGTGTGACAAATGGACAGACAGGTGTGTCTCTCAGTCAGTCAGCGGCCGCGTTAACTCCTCTGTATGTGTGTGTCTGGGTAGAAGACAGGCGGTGGCAGTTGGGGAAAGAGCCCTCTCACCCAGAGAAAGAAACAGCAGATGTTCAACACTCCACAGATTGAAAGCGAGAAATCATATCGTTGGTTTGATTTATATCCATTGCAGCCATTGTCTCATATAAAGGACAGAGTTCTCTGGTCAGAAGTTCAGAGCAAATAAGTATATTTTGGCTTTATAGCGGCATGCATGTACATTTATTGGTAGGGATGCTCAGTGGTGTAAAGTACTTAAGTAAAATACTTTAAAGTACTACTTAAGTCATTCTTTTGGGTATCTGTACTTTACTATTAATATTTTTGACAACTTTACTTTTACCTCACTACCTTCCTAAAGAAAATATGGACTTTATACTCCCGTACATTTTCCCTGACACCAAAAAGTACTTGTTAGATTTCGAATACTCAGGCATGACAGAATTATGGTCCAATTCATGCACCTATCAATATAACGTGTTGTCACCCCTACTGCCTCTGATCTGGCGGACTCACTAAACACACATACTGTGTTTGTAAATTGTCTGATTGTTGGAGTGTTCCCGTGTCTCTCCAGGGGGGAAAAATGAACAAAAAAGGAAATTGTTTGCTTAATATAAGGAATTTGATGTATAGCATTTACTTTTATTCAAATATGACAATTTAGTACTTTTTCCACCGCTGTACTTAAGTACATTTAAAACCAGATACCTTTTAGACTTTTACTCAAGTAGTATTTTACTGGGTGACTTTTACTTGCGTAATTTTCAATTAAGGTATCTTTACTTTTAATTAAGTATGACAATTGAGTACTTTTTCCACCACTGGGGATGCCCTTGTATAAGCAGATAATAGTCATTGTGATAAGCCTTTGGAATGGGAGGTGGAATTTAAGGCATATGAGGGGAAAAGCTGCAGGCATTAGTTAGCCAGTGTGTGTGTGTGTGTGTGTGTGTGTGTGTGGGTAGGATAACTAAGTTGGGCACAGTAAGATGGCCACTGCTTATGTGTCGACTAGTGTGGAAAATGTGTAACTGCTTATGGCTGCTCTTGTATGAGCTCAAAGTGACAATGGATGTGGGGGTAGCGTTAACTGTGTGCTTGCCTGTAGGGAGTGTGTGTGCACCGAGTGTGCGCGTGTGAGAGAAAGAAAGTGTGTGTGTGTCGTGTGTGCAGGGGGTGTGACCGTGTTGTGTGTGGGGAGGGTGTTTGACTGCTTCATCACACTCCTCTGGCAGAGAGAGGGAGGGAGAGAGAGACCTTCTCCGACACACTCACTGAGGCTGTGTGTGTGATGGTTGCTGTGTGTGAGAGCTGGTTTGTGAGCGTGGACGAGGGGTATGATTAATCCTATGGAATAGGACGTTCAAACATTTAAAAGACAAAGAAATAGACATCTATGGATCAGGAATTTCCATGAAATCTGCAATAAGTGAAGTCAAGATATGCTTCAAGGAGAACGGAGATATGAAGAAAGTTGCTTTTTGTCCTGCTTGTTGTTAGCGTGTGAGACTGGGTCACTGAGGACAGACACCGTATTCCCAGGGGCACCTCGCTGGGTCTGCTGGCCACTACAACAGAACGGCTACTTTCCTCTCAGGTCGGATGTTTTGACAGGACTGCAGCCATGCTGTGTGGTCTGAGGAGAGAGGCAAAGAACAGCAGCATCGGTAAGTCTGCCTGACACTCAATGACTGTGATGATGAATGAATGAATATCACAGCCGTCATAGGCTATCTAGTGTGCACTGTATGTCATATGGTTTGTAGTGCTACACCCTAGTATTGCAGTAGGAAGGGGTTTAGGACTGTCAATAGCACCTGTAACAGTATTTAGTTCCTGTGGTTCAATGGCTTCAGCATGGTGGTAAAGCACATCCCACTGTTACGCTTTTCCCCTACATTTGTACACATTCAGATTAATTCAGATTCGTTGAATGACACTTTTTGAAAGACAGCTTTGTCAAGCACCATTTTACTCACAGTATATCTATTAATTCACTAATAAGGCACAGACAGTAGACCTAATGCCATTTAATTAGGGCCGGACAGTACTGAATACAAGGCTGCAGTCTGAAATTGGAGCAGATATGGCAACGCAAACTGGGTTTAGTGGAGCCCAGTTTATATATAATGTTTTACCTCTTAAAATAGCATTGTGATTTCATAGCTATTGTCAGAGAGGCCCCCACATTTAACCTACATTCTGATTGGTTCTAAGGGGGATAGCATACGGTGCCCTGAATTAGATTAGGGCACCGTTAATTGACTCGCCAGAATTTAATGGGGGTGACTATAGTTTTCTGGCACATTACTTTGCACACCACTTTAAGTAATGTTGTAAGTACTGTCCTGTTTACAGATCTCCAGTGTATGGTTTTTGCAGTTCCGCACTTCATCCTTGAGCGACCACAGTAGATGATTATTCCCTCTGCCAAGACAACATGCTCCTACCAGGAGGTTCGTGCCGTGCCATAACCAGTTGTTGTTGTTCAGGTCAGGGGGGCCTTTTTGTTTTGGCTGCTGAATTGATTAAGCCAATTAAAGAAGTAATGTATTTGGCCTATGATTGGCCCGTCAGGATCACTAATGGTGTTTCTTAACTGGTGCAGGATGGATGGGTGCCGGAGAGGCTGAATTTATGGTATAGTGGCGTTCAGTCACGTGGAGCGTATGAGGTCTTTGTAACCCAGAGCAAACGTTGCCTTTTGACCACAATAATGGCTGCTTGGACTGTCAGGGTCCTCATGAAGCTATGGGACCGCGCACGCTGCTGCCTGTCCCAGTGTGTCTTTGATGTTTCACACTGTGTGTATGTGCGTGCATGTATGTCGTGCACTTATGCCCTAAGGCTGTTGAACAGCATATTTGTGCAAGGAAGTGAATAAAAGGTTGTACATTATCATAGTATGCATATTCCTGCATGCTTTACATTTTCGTTTTTGTCAACTCTCATTATGTTTGATTTCTATATTATTTCTGCATTTCCACAGTTAAGATGTGGCTAATCAACCTCCATGATTCTATGATATGGAGACATCCCTTCTCCTTGTCTCTTTCCTTCAAATGCACTGATCTGAAAATGTAGGAAAGGTGAAAGACAATGATTGATACCTACAGTACCAGTACCAGCTAACTGTTTTCAACAGTTACTTTACATCTGTGCAGATGAAAGAAAAGGTGACTAAGCTATTTTTTACACTATTGAGATACACCCCATGTTATTTTGTCTTTGGGCAAATTAGTCCTGTGCATGACAAGAATGAAAATTGACCAAAGGCTGGCTCCATTTGAATATTGATGATGTGAATTTAGTTATGGGTTATGTGATATTATGCATGAGGGATGATTAGTTGCGATACTAAAGTGGATGAAGGGTTAATTGAGTGCAGAACAGCAATATCACCTACACACGTCATCATGACAATCCTGCCTAAAGCTAATGAAATCACTAGGCTAAATTAGCATTTTGTTTTTCATCACTAATAGTGTTACATGTAACATTGTACTGTATAGCTCAGCAAGTGAGTGGAAAAGCTGAGCTGCGTTTAATCAATAGTAAGAATAGTGCTTTTGTTGAATTTCTTTAGCATATAGTGTATGAAATCCACCTCTCAGTGCAGCAGCTGAAATATATGGACCTCTCATAGGCCCTAGCTCTCCTCACATCAAACAAGGTCTAAACATGTCTTTGGTTTAGCTTTTCCTTAAGTGTGTATGTAATATGATGTTTAAATCACTTGGTTGAAAAGTTAATCCTCGGTGGACAGGATTAAGGAAGTGCAGCGTCAGATTTCTCATCACAAATGCTGACATGCCCATGCTGTGTCCAGATTCAAATGGCCAGGCAGGGCAGGGTCACTGCTAATCTGGGCCCCGGGCCCCGTGCTGTGTCAGAAATGGCTCCCACTGTATAAAGAGGATCCCAGAGGAACAGAGAACATTTCCTGGTTTCTTCTGTAGCGGCTGTTGTAATTGACTGAAAATGGTTGTATTCTCCACATGCCTGAATAGTCCTTTAACCACAGCATGTTCCCTCAAGAGCATTTCCCAGCTCTAACGTATACTGTAGGCACCATCTTGGTGCAGACATCGTGTTTCACTGAGGGTAGAAGAAGCCTGTGGACACAGATCGCACGATCAGCTCCAAATCTAAATCTTATCTGTTAGGGTGAACAAGGCAACATTATCTTCAGATCAGCGCCTATTCGGACTATTTCGTACTACTCACACTAAAACTAGCTGTCTTGATCTCTTTACCCCTCCTACTGTTACCATGGAAACAGCAGCGTGACCTTCCGGGTCACTGAGATTGACCCGCCAGTGTTCTTTGAGTTAGTTAGCTAATTGCCTGTTGTAGGAGTTCCTTCCTGTTGTACCTCTCTCTAATGTCCACTCTCCCTCTAATGGGGATCAAAGGGTTAAACGAGGCCCAGGCAGCTGTCAGAGTGTGGACAGGGGATGTGATGGTGTCAGATTTCCCCTTCTCCCTCTCCTCTCAGGAACAGCATGCACACGTTCCTCACATACCGTAGTAGTTCTCCAAACATCCAGATTATTCACCAAATGTCCCTTTCATTATTCCAGATGACGGGCCCTACTCTAAGGGCAGCAAGGACTCTGGAGGGACCGACCATTCCCTTACCTCCAGGAGACGCAGTATTGCAGGTACAGTGTGATTACACCTTACTGTGACTTTCAGTCATTCTACATTCTACGGCATCTTCTCTGTGGTACCATGTCCAATATCTTCAGCCTTTCTCCAAGATGGAAAGATATCCACAAGAGTCATGCTTTTCACTGGGATTGTTTGATTGCACATGTTCCATCATGTCTGCGCTGCGTTGGTTGATAGATGTGGTACTGTAGTGCTTAGATAAGGTGGAGAAAATGCCTATGTAGCATACCTGTCATTGGAGACTAAAGGAGTCCTCTCCCTACGTAGACTTCATGTAGCATTTAACAGCACAGCACAATGTGTCCGCAGCCAGACAGAATGGAACCAATCCCATACACTATATATACAAAAGTATGTGGACACCCCTTCAAATTAGTGGATTCGCCCATTTCAGCCACACCCGTTGCTGATAGGTGTATACAATCGAGCACACCGCCATGCAATCTCCATAGACAAACATTGGCAGTAGCAGCGTCAGCACAAGAACTGTTAATCGGGAGCTTCATGAAATGGGTTTCCATGGCCGAGCAGCCGCACACAAGCCTAAGATCACCATGCGCAATGCCAAACGTCGGCTGGAGTGGTGTAAAGCTCGCTGCCATTGGACTCTGGAACAGTGGAAACGCGTTCTCTGGAGCGATGAATCACGCTTCACCATCTGGCAGTCCGATGGACAAATCTGGGTTTGGCGGATGCCAGCAGAACGCTACCTGCCCCAATGCATAGTGCCAACTGTAAAGTTTGGTGGAGGAGGAATAATAGTCTGGGGCTGTTTTTCATGGTTCGGGCTAGGCCCCTTAGTTCCAGTGAAGGGAAATCTTAACGCTACAGCATACGTTCACAAAGCGAGGTCCATACAGAAATGGTTTGTCGAGATCTGTGTGGAAAAACTTGACTGGCCTGCACAGAGCCTTGACCTCAACCCCATTGAACACCTTTGGGATGAATTGGAACGCCGACTGCGAGCCAGGCCGAATCGCCCAACATCAGCGCCCGACCTCACTAATGCTCTTGTGGCTGAATGGAAGCAAGCCCATGCAGCAATGTTCCAACATCTAGTGGAAAGCCTTCGCAGAAGAGTGGAGGCTGTTATAGCAGCAAAGGGGGGACCAACTCCATATTAATGGCCAAGATTTTGGAATGAGATGTTCGACGAGCAGGTGTCTACATACTTTTCTTCATGTAGTGTAACCTACAACGTCTGAAGACACTACGGCTAGCTATCCGTCAGTTAGGGTCAACCCCAATTTGAACTCAGTTCTGTCCAGGAAATGAATAAATATATAATTTATCAATCTGGAAAATTGCCCTTTTCTGTCAAGATTTACATTTTCAATTCATCCACTGAATTCCCATTATGTTGAATGTACTGAGTTAATATGGAGCTGACCCCATCCATGACATCAATCATCAAAGAGGAGCAAGAGAGAGGGAAAGAGACAGAGGTGGAAAGATGCGAAAGAGAGCGAGTCAGAATGAGAGAGAGAGCAGCATGATAGAGGCAGAGATAATCAAGCCGTGTTTGTAGCAGCTCAGAGAAACAGGCTCAGTGTCCCAGATGGATGCTGACTCTGTGACTCAGTCCATCCACTGTTCCTCCTGTCTGTTTCTGTGTGTCTGTAGAGGACTACCGGGGTGTGACCACGGTGGACCTGATAAAAAGGGAGGGCAGCAGCCTGGGCCTCACCATCTCCGGGGGGTCCGATAAGGACGGCAAGCCCAGAGTGTCAAACCTGCGGCCAGGTGGGCTAGCTGCCAGGTGAGATCTCGACTAGGATGACACATCTGTAACCTGGCAACTGCAGTGAGCTGTCTGCCTGTGTTACCCACATGTCGTCTGTAATACACCATCTCGCCCTAACCTAGGTATTATAGACGCTGCAGTAGATCAGCTCTTTACTGGGTGATGTTGAGCCTGGAAGTGATATTACACCAGGACACAGTGTATGAGAGAGTCTCCTATGTTAATAAACAAGATAAATATGGATGTTCCCACCGACTCACGAATCACACCAACTAAATGAAATGAAACTACAGCGAATTCATTTGTACATTAAGTTCATGTAGAGAAGATTTTAAGCGACGACCTGCTTTATTTAATTGCCTCCCAATTCTCTTGGTATTCATAAGGATGTAATGTTTCTATTTTGGAGTGTGGAGCGATGTAATTTCATTACAGATTGCCTAATTAACATCCAATTAATTTCATTTGTTCAGCCACGAGAGCAAAACGCAATGGAAAGCACTCACGCTTCAGTGACTAAGCATCATGTGCCTCTAATGACACACACACACATTAAATACTTGGAATATAACATTCTTTCTGTCACCACGGAAGTGTCTCAGTGTAGAATGTGATCAAACGACTAGACATGACAATCATGATATTGCTTACCAGCTTATCTCACTACCATTGTAACCATTACACCACTGGCCTGTTTGCTGGTCGGTTGGTCTCGTAAACAGTATACCCTGAGTGTATGCTCTTTCCATGACATAAACTGACCAGGTGAATCCAGGTGAAAGCTATGATCCCTTATTGATGTCACTTGTTAAATCCACTTCAATCAGTGTAGATGAAGGGGAGGAGACAGGTTAAAGAAGGATTTTTAAGCCTTGAGACAATTGAGACATGGATTGTGTATGTGTGCCATTCAGAGGGTGAATGGGCAAGACAAAATATTTAAGTGCCGTTGAACAGGGTATGGTAGTAGGTGCCAGGCACACCGGTTTGAGTGTACTGTATCAAGAACTGCAACACTGCTGGGTTTTTCACGCTCATCAGTTTCCCGTGTGTATCAAGAATGGTCCACCACCCAAAGGACATCCAGCCAACTTGACACAACTGTGGGAAGCATTGGAGTCAACCTAGGACAGCATCCCTGTGAAACGCTTTCGACACCTTGTAGAGTCCATTCCCCGACTCAATATTAGGAAGGTTCCTAATGTTTTTTACCCTCAGTGTATATCTATGTTGAGATGAGAGCGTATGAGCGTGTTTGGTAGGCTGATGCTGATATGTGTGTCCTGCGTCACTGTAGCGATTGGCAGTAGCCCAGAGGTGTAGCAGAGCAGTACATCTATTTAATTAGCATCTAAATGTTGACTCACAATGTCACATGAGACGCACCATGTCTGTCTACTTCTTAGCACCTTTTCTTATCGTCAATCGCCATAGCATAGATTTACATTAATACAGTGCATTTGGAAAGTATTCAGACCCCTTGACCTTTTCCACATTTTGTTACGTTACAGCCTTATTCTAAAATGAATTACATCGTTTTTTCCCCCTCATAAATCTACACACAATACCCCATAATGACAAAGCAAAAACAGTTTTTAGAATTTTTTTGCTAATGTATTACAAATTCTACGTTCTAAAAACCTATTTTTGCTTTGTCATTGTGGGGTATTGTGTGTAGATTTATGAGGGGAAAAAACGATGTAATAATTTTTAGAATAAGGCTGTAACGTGTGGAAAAAGTCAAGGGGTCTGAATACTTTCCAAATGCACTGTACACACAGCTTGTGTTACAATTAGACAATCTGCTACAAAGATGCCAAACAGTGTTCATGACAGGGCAGAGATGAAAATACACGACAATGTTCTCAAGCCATGAATCAGGAGATGGGATGTTGTTTTGAGAGTATCATTAGTGGAGTTAGGAATTTTTCCTAAGTAAGTGACCCAAGCCAGAGTTATTCTTGGCTAAGTGACATGGTCAGGAAAAACGCCTTTCCCTACACATCAACCAACATTTTCAATTGTAAATCGATCTGAGTGCCTCTTATCTTATCTTGCACAGGAGTGACCAGCTGAATGTGGGAGACCACATCAAGTCAGTGAACGGCATCAACCTGTCCAAGCTCCGCCACGATGAGATCATCAGCCTGCTGAAGAACATAGGGGAGCGTGTGGTGCTGGAAGTGGAGTTCGAACTACCTCCCTTTGGTTCGAGCACTTCTAGTGTGTATAGACCTGCCTCTGGGCTGTTGTTAGTAGTTCTGTTATGTCCATATCTTTGCATTTCAAATGACATACAGTGGGGGAAAAAAGTATTTAGTCAGCCACCAATTGTGCAAGTTCTCCCACTTAAAAAGATGAGAGAGGCCTGTAATTTTCATCATAGGTACACGTCAACTATGACAGACAAATTGAGGAAAAAAAATCCAGAAAATCACATTGTAGGATTTTTAATGAATTTATTTGCAAATTATGGTGGAAAATAAGGATTTGGTCACATACAAACAAGCAAGATTCCTGGCTCTCACAGACCTGTAACATCTTCTTTAAGAGGCTCCTCTGTCCTCCACTCGTTACCTGTATTAATGGCACCTGTTTGAACTTGTTATCAGTATAAAAGACAGCTGTCCACAACCTCAAACAGTCACACTCCAAACTCCACTATGGCCAAGACCAAAGAGCTGTCAAAGGACACCAGAAACAAAATTGTAGACCTGCACCAGGCTGGGAAGACTGAATCTGCAATAGGTAGAAAATCAACTGTGGGAGCAATTATTAGGAAATGGAAGACATACAAGACCACTGATAATCTCCCTCGATCTGGGGCTCCACGCAAGATCTCACCCCGTGGGGTCAAAATGATCACAAGAACGGTGAGCAAAAATCCCAGAACCACACGGGGGGACCTAGTGAATGACCTGCAGAGAGCTGGGACCAAAGTAACAAAGCCTACCATCAGTAACACACTACGCCGCCAGGGACTCAAATCCTGCAGTGCCAGACGTGTCCCCCTGCTTAAGCCAGTACATGTCCAGGCCCGTCTGAAGTTTGCTAGAGTGCATTTGGATGATCCAGAAGAGGATTGGGAGAATGTCATATGGTTAGATGAAACCAAAATAGAACTTTTTGGTAAAAACTCAACTTGTCGTGTTTGGAGGACAAAGAATGCTGAGTTGCATCCAAAGAACACCATACCTACTGTGAAGCATGGGGGTGGAAACATCATGCTTTGGGGCTGTTTTTCTGCAAAGGGACCAGGACGACTGATCCGTGTAAAGGAAAGAATGAATGGGGCCATGTATCATGAGATTTTGAGTGAAAACCTCCTTCCATCAGCAAGGGCATTGAAGATGAAACGTGGCTGGGTCTTTCAGCATGACAATGATCCCAAACACACCGCCCGGGCAACGAAGGAGTGGCTTCGTAAGAAGCATTTCAAGGTCCTGGAGTGGCCTAGCCAGTCTCCAGATCTCAACCCCATAGAAAATCTTTGGAGGGAGTTGAAAGTCCGTGTTGCCCAGCGACAGCCCCAAAACATCACTGCTCTAGAGGAGATCTGCATGGAGGAATGGGCCAAAATACCAGCAACAGTGTGTGAAAACCTTGTGAAGACTTACAGAAAACGTTTGACCTGTGTCATTGCCAACAAAGGGTATATAACAAAGTATTGAGAAACTTTTGTTATTGACCAAATACTTATTTTCCACCATAATTTGCAAATAAATTCATTTTAAAATCCTACAATGTGATTTTCTGGATTTTTTTCCCTCATTTTGTCTGTCATAGTTGACGTGTATCTATGATGAAAATAACAGGCCTCTCATCTTTTTAAGTGGGAAAACTTGCACAATTGGTGGCTGACTAAATACTTTTTTCCCCCACTGTATATGATATTGCAGATCAGGTCAACATATCTTGCTTTTGTTCTTGGCTGAAAAGCCTCCAATTCTCTCTGTGTTCTTACAATTGGACATTATTCCGGTACATACTTGCTCATCTATTTCTGGACTGTGACCCAACAAGTAAACAAACAATTGATGATCCCATTGGAGGCTGGTGTCAATTTTAATTGGAGGACGGGCTCATTATAATGGCCGAAATGAAACGTGGAATGTGTTTGATGTCTACGATACATTTCAATTGATTCCATTCCAGCCATGAGCCGTCCTCCCTTCACCAGCCTCCACCGGATGATCCAGTCGTGACATAAGGATTCAACCACTAAAACAGCTACCCAGCAATGGGTTGTACCTCTGGCAGTGAGTGGGTTGCATTTAACACTATCTTACAATGTTCCATTATTTTAAAGGTGGGTAAAACCTCCATGTCACTGTCTTTTTGCAATGGTGATTGGGTTTGTGTCCTGAGATGTTGGTTGGCAAGATGGTGTTGGTCTGCTTCTCTCATTGTTTAAACTCTGAACTACTCTCTCTCTCCCTCTCTGTTTTCAGTCCAGAACACTCCCTCAGGTGTCATAGCTAAGACCATAGAGGTGTGCCTATACAAGGAGGGCAACAGCTTTGGATTCGTCATGAGAGGTGGGCATCATCAAGTCTGTTAGAATGTACAGTGTGTATATTAAAGGGTGGGAAAGGATGAAAGATTGAACTAGAGCTGGAGTGTGTATGTGTGTTCTGTTGTTCTAGGAGGGTTCCATGAAGACTGGCACAGGTCTCGTCCTCTGGTAGTGACCTACGTACGGCCCGGGGGGCCAGCTGACAGGTAAAGACATGCAGAGATGAAACTGTGTGTGCGTGCCCACGTGCTTTTACCATCATGAGTAATTTCACATGAGTAAGCGCAAGGACGTTTCTAGCATTTTGGGGGCCCTAAGCAAGATTTTGTTGGGGGCCCCTCCCACCTCACGGGCAAAACATTTTAGTGGCTCCCCTCTTGGTGGCGCAGAGAAAAATTTGCAGCTTTAAAGATAATTTCCTGCAATTCTACACATAGAGAAAATGTTGCAGTTTTAAAGGCCATTTTCTGCATTTCTACACATTTCTCCGTGGGGCATAGAGAACATTTTGCAGTTTTAAAACACATTTCATGCGATTCTACACATTTCAAATAAATAAAATATTATTTGTAAAATGCTTCGTAAACAACAGGTGTAAACTAACACTGAAATGCTTACTTACATCAATGCAGAGAGAAAAACTATAGAAACATAATAACACAATAAATAAATACCAATGAGTAACGATAACTTGGCTATATACACTGGGTACCAGTACCGAGTCGATGTGCAGGGGTACAAGGTAATTGAGGTAGATATGTACATATAGGTAGGGGTAAAGTGACTAGGCAACAGGTTAGATAATAAGCAGTAGCAGCAGTGTATGTGATGAGTCAAAATAATTAGTGCAAAGGGGAGCATCAATGCAGATAGTCTGGGTAGCTATTTGGTTAACTACTTAGTCTTATGGCTTGGGGGTAGAAGCTGTTCATGGTCCTGTTGGTTACAGACTTGGTGCAATTTTTTGGGCCTTCTTCTGATACTGCCTGATATAGAGGTCCTGGATGGCAGGGAGTTCGGCCCCAGTGATGTACTGGGCCGTACGCACTACCCTCTGTAGCGCCTTGTGATCAGATGCCAAGCAGTTGCATTACCAAGCGGTGATGCAGCCAGTCAAGATGCTCTCAATGGTGCAGCTGTATAACTTTTTGAGGATCTGAGGGCCCATGCCAAATCTTTTTAGCCTCCTGAGGGGGAAGAGGCATTGTCGTGCCTTCTTCACCATGTTAATTCCTTAGTGATATGGACACTGAGGAACTTGAAGCTCTCGACCCGCTCCACTACAAACCCACCGATCTGGATGGGGGCGTGCTCGCCCCGCCGTTTCCTGTAGTCCATGATCAGCTCCTTTGTCTTGCTGACGTTGAGGGGAAGGTTGTTGTCCTGGCACCACACTGCCAGGTTACTGATCTCCTCCCTATAGGCTGTCTTATCGTTGTTGGTGATCAAACCTACCACCATTGTGTCGTCAACAAACTTAATGATGGTGTTGGAGTCGTGCGTGGTCACGCAGTTGTGGGTGAACAGGGAGCTATAGTCAATGAACAACATTCTTACATAGGTGTTCCTCTTATCCAGGTGGGAGAGGACAGTGCTGAGTGCAATAGAGATAGCGTCATCTGTTGGGGCGGTATGCGAATTGAGTGGGTCTGGGATGATGGTGTTGATGTGAGCCATGACCAGCCTTTTAAAGCATTTCATGGCTACAGATGTGAGTGCTACGGGGCGATAGACATTTAGACAGGTTACCTTGGCGTTCTTGGTTACAGGGACTATGGTGGTCTTCTTGAAACATGTAGGTATTACAGACTGGGTCAGGGAGAGGTTGAAAATGTCAGTGAAGACACTTGGCAGCTGATCAGCGCATGCTCTGATTACGCATCCTGGTAATCATGTTTAAAGGTCTTACTCACATCGGCTATGAAGAGCAAGATCACACAGTCGTCCGGAACAGCTGGTGCTCTCATGCATGGTTCAGTGTTGTTTGCCTCAAAGTGAGCATAGAAGGTATTTAGCTCGTCTGGTCACTGGGCAGCTCGTGGCTGGGTTACCATTTGTAATCCGGAGTAGTTTGCAAGCCCTGCCACATCCGACGAGCATCAGAGCCGGCGTAGTAGGATTTGATATTAGTCCTGTATTGACGCTTTGCCTGTTTGATGGCTCGTCGTAGCAGGATTTCTTATAAGCGTCCAGATTAGTGTCCCGCTCTTTGAAAGAGGCAGCTCTAGCATTTAGCTCAGTGCAGATGTTGCCTGTAATCCATGGCTTCAGGTTGGGTTATGTACGTGCAGTCACTGTGGGGACGACGTTGTCGATGCACTTACTGTATGAAGCCGGTGACTCCCGGAACATATTCCAGTCTGTGTTAGTGAAACAGTCCTGTAGCTTAGCATCCACTTCATCGGTCCACTTCCGTATTGAGTGCATCACTGGTACCTCCTGTTTGAGTTTTTGCTTGTAAGCAGGAATCAGGAGGATAGAGTTATGGTCAGATTTTCCAAAGGGAGGGTGAGGGAGAGCCTTGTATGCGTTTCTGTGTGTGGAGTGATGGTGATCAAGAGTTTTGTTGCACAGGTGACATGCTGGTAAAATTTGGTGAAACGGATTTCAGTTTCCCTGCATTAATCACCGGCCACTAGAAGCGCCGGCTGTTGATATGCATTTTCTTGTTTGCTTACAGCCCTATACAGATCCTTGAGTGTGGTATTAGTGCCAGCATCGGTTTGTGGTGGTAAATAGACAGCTACGAAAAATATAGATGAAAATTATCTTCGTAAATAGTGTGGTCTGCAGCTTATCATGATGATGTTCTTATCATTATATATTAGAGATCGCACACCAGCTGCTGTTAACAAAGAGACACACCCCTCCCCCTTTAGTCTTCACCGAGGCTGCCCTCTGGTCTAGACGATACATGGAGAAACCCGCAAGATATACATTATCCATGTCCTTGTTCAGCCAAGACTCCCCGAAGCATAGAATATTACAGTTCTTCAGGTCCTGTTGATAGGATAGTCTCGAATGTAGTTAATCCGGTTTTTTCTCCAGTGACTGCACATTCACCAACAGAGCAGAGAGCAATCGGGGTCTATTTGTTCGCCAACATAATCTCGTTAGGAGGCCGCCTAGCCTGCCTCTTTTTCACCACCGCTTCCACTTTCAAGTCCCATTGATTAGGGCCTGGTCCGGAGTAAGCAGAACGTCCAGAGCTGCCGACTCGTTGAAGTAGAACTCTTCATCCAAATCGCTGTTCTGATGTCCAAAAGCCGTCTTCGATCATAGGAAATGATGGCGGAGACATTATGTACACACAAAATGGTCAGGAGCCCATAAATCAGACGTTATCCACTGCAGCGCCATCTTTTAATTTGGGTTTGAGAGAAGAAATTGCATTTTTAAAGCTAATTTCCTGCAGTTCTACATATTTTGCCATTACTTATGCCATGTTCATATGATATGAGTGAGAGTGACTAACAAATTCAATGGGGCCCCCTGGAGGTCGGGGCCCCATTGAATTTGTTAGTCACTCTCACTCATATCATATGAACATGGCATAAGTCATGGCAAAATGTGTAGAACTGCAGGAAATTAGCTTTAAAAATGCCACTACATGCCTTGCCTTCCGGTCAGTAATTCAGCCATGCAATCTATAAAATGTTAACTGACATGGGCTAATTGAGTGACTTTCAGTGACTGACATACCAATAGGAAAACTGCTGATTTACTACCAAATTTCAAAATTGCACATTGTGTATTCTACTATCCTAACTAACAGTAAGTTGAGACCCCGACTGACTTTCTTATGCCTAGAAACGGCACTGAGTAAGCGATTTTAAGAAGCTCTGAGTGCCTTGTTTTCAATCAGTGTATGGATCTGTGTGCAATCTTTATAGCTTGCTGACCCTGGTTTGGTCCTTTGCCATTTGTTTCAATGGCAAATGCTATTCAAAAGATGTAGTGATACGCATTGCCTCCCAGACCTATGGAAATGCAGTCATGCATTAATGTTAAATCCACATTCACAGTATAAAGGGCAAGCTTTATCCTAAGGCTAGGGACTAGCTAGCTGAATACTGTACTGCACTGTTCCAAGATTTCTCAGAATATTGAGGGCAACATTACTTTTGTATAGCAAGCAGTGACATGGTGAGTATGCTGTACACCATGAGAGAATATGTTGATATTATTTATGTTCGTTCATTTCCTGAGAGGTCAGAGATAGAATCTCTCTTTTACCGGAGAGAGGACAAAACACCCCCTTCCCCTTTCTTTCTAGAGACAGAAAACTGAAAGATGGTGAACATCTGATGTGTCTGTGTGGACTAAGTGGCTATATTCACTGTCCTCCTTTACATAAACGTTCTCTCTCTTCCCTCTCCTTTCTCTCTCTCCTTTCAATGCCCCCCCCCCCCCCCCTCTCCCTTCCCCTTTCCGTCTCTCTACCAGAGAGGGAACACTGAAGGCTGGTGACCGCGTGCTGAGCATAGATGGGATGCCCTTAAACCGAGAGAAGCACGCTGACGCCCTGACTATGCTGATGCAGAGTAGCCAGGAAGCCCTGTTCCTGATTGAGTATGATGTCTCCCTCATGGGTGAGCACACACGCGCCTGGCGGAGGGGGAATATGTGAGAATACGGCAGGCCGGGTAACATCGCTCTGAGGGTAAATAATGTGTTTGTTCCACAAGAATGTATTAGAGTGTTGGCTGCGCACAAGACGCAACCCAGGGATTCACACGGCTCCAAAACACACGTCAACACTGAGTAGGAATGGTACAGCAGGTACATACAATCTACAGTGGCTTGCGAAAGTATTCACCCTCCTTGGCATTTTTCCTATTTCGTTGCCTTACAATCTGGAATTAAAATGGATTTTTGGGGGGTTTGTATCATTTGATTTACACAACATGACTACCACTTTGAAGATGTGAAACAAACAAGAAATAAGACAAAAAAACAGAAAACTTGAGCGTGCATAACTATTTACTTCCCTGTATTTAACGGCATCCATCATTCCTTTGATTCTGACCAGTTTCCCAGTCCCTGCCGATGAAAAACATCCCCACAGCATGATGCTGCCACCACCATGCTTCACTGTGGGGATGGTGTTCTCAGGGTGATGAGAGGTTTGTGCCAGACATAGAGTTTTCGTTGATGGCCAGAAAGCTCAATTTTAGTCTCGTCTGACCAGAGTACCTTCTTCCATATGTTTGGGGAGTCTCCCACATGCCTTTTGGCGAACACCAAACAGGTTTGCTTATTTTCTTCTTTAAGCAATGGCTTTTTTCTGGCCACTCTTCCGTAAAGCCCAGCTCTGTGGAGTGTATGGCTTAAAGTGGTCCTATGGACAGATACTCCAATCTCCGCTGTGGAGCTTTGCAGCTCCTTCAGGGTTATCTTTGGTCTCTTTGTTGCCTCTGATTAATGCCCTCCTTGCCTGGTCCATGAGTTTTTGTGGGCGGCCCTATCTTGGCAGGTTTGTTGTGGTGCCATATTATTTCCATTTTTTAATAATGGATTTAATGGTGCTCCGTGGGATGTTCACAGTTTCTGATATTTTTTTATAACCCAACCCTGATCTGTACTTCTCCACAACTTTGTACCTGACCTGTTTGGAGAGCTCCTTGGTCTTCATGGTGCCACTTCCTTGGTGGTGCCCCTTGCTTAGTGGTGTTGCAGACTCTGGGGCCTTTCAGAACAGGTGTATATATACTGAGATCATGTGACAGATCATGTGATACACAGGTGGACTTTATTTAACTAATTATGTAGGTAATTCTGAAGGTAATTGGTTGCACCAGATCTTATTTAGGGGCTTCACAGCAAAGGGGGTGAATACATATGCACGCACCAGTTTTCCGTTATTAATTTTTTTGAATTTTTTGAAACAAGTTACTTTTTTCATTTCACTTCACCAATTTGGACTATTCTGTGTATGTCCATTACATGAAATCCAAATAAAAATCCATTTAAATTACAGGTTGTAATGCAACAAAATAGGAAAAACGCCAAGGGGGATGAATAATCTTTCAAGGCACTGTATAAATATACTCTAATAATTCCAATATAGAAGTCTACTCTATATTGTATGGAAGTTTTTATCTTTCATTTTGTGTGGTGCTTCTAATTGTTTTAGTCTTCTTAATGAAGCAAAAAAAGCAAATGGAGATCTAGGCTTTCATATACCCTAATTAGCCCTAACACTAGTGCTCTCTGAGACAGACAGACAGACGTTCTCGCTTTAGAGCGAGCCCCTCAGAAGGATACAGAATGTTGAGGACAGAGATTGCATCCATTTGGTGAGGTCAAATGTCAAATAGCCCTTAAGTCTGTTCTCCTCCAATATGAAAATGTCTTACTCCATGCCAGGGGGGATTTTACTGCCTTCATCTGGCAAGCAGCACACGCCCCTCAGTACAGCTGGAAGTCAGTGACAGTCATCCATGGTTTTGTCAGCCTGAGTCTGGGACTCTCCTCTGGTACAGTCCCCAGGCAGGACAGGGTTGGACATGAGTCCCAGACAAGGTCTCAGACGAGTGGACGTTTCCCTGAGAGACAATCTAGTGTTTCTCTGTTGCGCCGCAAGCCCCTAGCTCTGTCGTTTCTCTGTATCACTGGATAAGATGTCTTGTATGTCACCAGCTGAGACAGATTGACCTCTGTACTGCCGTAGTTGAATGTTAATTGAGGTGGGTTGAGGTGAAAGGGAATATCCTTCTTTCAAATATAGTGGGAGAGCATCATTAACAAACCAAATGCCCTCTGAAAAAATATAATGGGCTCTTCAGTTTTAAGAGAGGAGATAATGAAGAGAAAGTAAATGTGTAAATAATGTGGAGATGATAATGTAGAGAGAGTTACTGTTGCTATTTGCAACATTTCCTAAGTACTCAGACACTGATTCCATCACTTTGTACTGTAGTAACCTTAACCCAACACCAAGCGACCTCGTCAATTCGCTACAGTACCATGGATATTCCCCCCTAATGTAGTGAATGTCTGTGTCTCTCAAGAGTCAGTCCAGCAGGCCTCTGGCCCCCTACTGGTGGAGATAATGAAGTGTCCTGCAGCCAGTCTGGGTGTCAGCCTGGCTACTGCTGTGTACAGGAACAAACAGGTCATCGTCATCGACAAGATAAAACAAGCCAGTGTGGTGGAAAGGTAAGGCAAGCCTACCAAAGATACCATACTGTATTTTGCATGAAATTACAGTAGCTTTAGACTAAATGTGAAATGCTTTTCTCCTTTCAAATACCTCTCTGTCTGTCCCTTTCTTACCCCTCTCTCTCAGGTGTGGGGCATTGCATATAGGTGATCTCATCCTGTCTATAGATGGGACCAGCACTGAGCACTGTTCCCTGATGGAGGCCACGCAGCTATTGGCCCAAACCTCTGACGTTGTCAAATTGGAGATCCTCCCAGCCAATCAGAGCAGACTTCCCATGAGACCCCAAGACACAGGTCAGTCTATCACAGGACTTGAGCCATATCCCAACACTCTCCAAGGCATCCGCTCCTCCCCTTCTCACAGGATCTTGTTTATGTAATGTTTAGGTAGTTTTATACGTACAGTGCCTTCAGAAAGTACCCCTTAACTTATTCCATATTTTGTTGTTATAGAATGACTTCAAAATGGATTAGATTGTATTTCTCACATCTACACACAATACCCCATAATGACAAAGTGAAAACATGTTTTCACTGTTCTAATTTACATATGTATTCACACCCCTCAGTCAATACATGTTAGAATCACATTTGGCAGCGAGTCTTTCTGGGTAAGTCTCTTAAGAGTTTTGCACACCTGGATTGTACAATATTTTCACATTAATTCTTCAAGCTCTGTCAAGTTGGTTGTTGTTCATTGCATTTTCAAGTCTTTGCCATAGATTTTCAAGCCAATTTAAGTCAAAACTGTAACTAGGCCAATCGGCCATGTCGTCTTGGTAAGCAACTCCAGTGTATATTTGGTTGTGTGTTTTAGGTTATTGTCCTGCTGAAAGGTGATTTTGTCTCCCAGTGTCTGTTGGAAAGCAGACTGAACCATGTTTTCCTCTAGGATTTTGTCTGTGCTTAGCTCGATTCCATTTATTTTATCCTAAAAGAACTCCCTTGCCGATGACAAGCATACCCATAACATGATGCAGACACCACCATTCCTGAAAATAAACTACATGGTATGTGGACACCTGCTCGTCTAACATCTTATTCCAAAATCATGGGCATTAATATGGAGTTTGCCCCCCTTTGCTTCTATAACAGCCTCCACTCTTCTGGGAAGACTTTCCACTAGATGTTGTAACATTGCTGCGGGGGCTTGCTTCAGCCACAAGAGCAATACTGAGGTTGGGCACTGATGTTGGGCGATTAGGCCTGGCTCGCAGTCGGCATTCCAATTCATCCCAAAGGTGTTCGATGGGGTTGTCAGGTCTCTGTGCAGGCCAGTCAAGTTCTTCCACACTGATCTCGACATGCCATTTCTGTATGGACCTTGCTTTGTGCACGGGGGCATTGTCATGCTGAAACAGTAACGGGCCTTCCCCAAACTGTTGCCACAAAGTTGCAAGCACAGAATCGTCTAGAATGTCATTGTATGCTGTAGCGTTAAGATTTTCCTTCACTGGAACTAAGGGGTCCGTCCGTCAGACTGCCAGATGGTGAAGCGTGATTCATCACTCCAGATCCAATGGCGGCGCGCTTTACACCACTCCAGCCAATGATTGGCATTGCGCATGGTGATCTTAGGCTTGTGTGCGGCTGCTCGGCCTTGGAAACCCATTTCATGAAGCTCCCAACGAACAGTTCTTGTGCTGATGTTGCTCCCAGAGGCAGTTTGGAACTCGGTACTGAGTGTTGCAACCGAGGACAGACGATTTTTACGCGCTTCAGCACTCGGCGGTCCCTTTCTGTGAGCTTGTGGGGCCTACCACTTCGCGGCTGAGCCGTTGTTTCTCCTAGACGTTCCCACTTCACAATAACAGCACTTACAGTTGACTGGGGCAGCTCTAGCAGGGCAGAAATTTGACAAACTGACTTGTTGGAAAGGTGGCATCCTATGACGGTGCCACGTTGAAAGTCACTGAGTTTGTCTATGGAGATTGCATGGCGGTGTGCTCGATTTTATACACCTGTCAGCAACAGGTGTGGCTGAAATAGCCGAATCCACTAATTTGAAGGGGTGTCCACATACTTTTGTATATATAATGTATAAAGCCATGGATGTCTCACAGATTCAGGACACTGTAGGATGTCTTATGAATGCATGTAGGTAAACCCCAAGCCCTTTTCAAACCTCCACATTGGTCTCAGGTAGAAGTTGTCATTAACCCTTTCCTACCCCCTATGCCTAATCATAAGAAGGGGGACAAGATGTCTGACCCTGGCTCATTAGTTAGGGGAAACTTCTACCCACTCCTCCAAAACATCCATCTCACTCTGTGGTCCTGTAAACTTTTTTCTCCTGTAGCTTATAGCTAAGCTCACCTAGAGGAGCGCTTTAAGAACTCTATTTCCTATCTTTACTGGGGAAGAGAAACAGCAAATTTTTTGCTTACCATATCAGTCTTATTAAATCCCCCGTGAGGATTAGACAAATTGCACTTTATGATCACTTATAATACCCAAAGTAGCATGGACTCACTCTGTGTGCAATAATAGTGTTTAATATGATTTTTTGAATGACTACCTCATCTCTGTAGCCCACACATACAATTATATGTAAGGTCCCTCAGTCGAGCAGTGAATTTCAAACAAAGCGTATGTATCATTAAAATATTATGTTGTTGCATGTCATTTCAATAATGAATCTATATCTAATCCAACTTTGAAGGACATAAAAAAATACATTTTATAGGCACAAATCAAAAGTCAGTCAAACACTTCCTGATTTGTTTTCATTATCTTGAGTACATGCATTAGTTAGTGATACAGTCCAACTCCATTAGGTAGTGGGTGTCTCGCTAATGACACAATATTTATTTGACGAAACAACCATAAGAACCGTACACTTAAGCTAAGACGCCCACCACAGATAAGGCAGCCGCTGTCGTTAAGACTAAGCCACAGTATAGTTCTACCAAACATCGGCTTCCGTGATCCCACCCAGCTTCACATGCTAAGAAACCACCTCCAACCGTTGACCCAGATAGAAGCCTGGGAAAAAACACGGCATGAATACCATCTCAGAGAGGCGTGTGTGTGTTTGTGGGTGCGTAGCTTGTCGCTATGCATAAGAGGCCGGTGGCCTACCCCAGGGCACAGGGCTTGTAGCCCCCAGCACTCTCCACACGCAGCGTGATTCACAGAACATAGGAGGAGGCAGCTAACCCTCTGCAGTCCCTTTATAGCAGCAGCCGTTAACAAAGGTCACCATGTAGGGGTGTGAATATGCTGAAAACCCAGTTTATCTGGATTTTGTCTGCTGGGTTACATACTGTGCCTTCAGAAAGTATGCACACCCCTAGACTTTTTCCACATTTTGTTGTGTTACAGCCTGAATTTTTAATACATTAAATTACACACAATACCCCATAATGTCAAAATGGAAATATGTTTTTAGAATATTTTACAAATTAATTGAAAATGAAAAGCTGAAATGTCTTGAGTCAACAAGTATTCAACCCCTTTGTTATGGCAAGAATAAATAAGTTCAGGAGTAAACATTTGCTTAACAAGTCACATAATAAGTTGCACTCACTCTGTGTGCAATAATAGTGTTTAATATGATTCATCTCTGTACCCCACACATACAATTATATGTAAGGTCCCTCAGTCGAGCAGTGAATTTCAAACAAAGATACAACCCCAAAGACCAGGGAGGTTTTCCAATGTCTCACAAAGAAGGTCACCTATTGGTAGATGGGTAAAAAACAAAACAAAACAAAAACAGACATTGAATATCCCAGTTACACTTTGGATGGTGTATCAATACACCCAGTCACTATAAAGATACAGGTGTCCTTCCTAACTCAGTTGCCGGAGAGGAAGGGATCCGCTCAGGGATTTCACCATGAGGCCAATGGTGACTTTAAAACAGTTACAGAGTTTAATGGCTGTGATAGGAGAAAACCAAGGATGGATCAACAACATGGTCGTTACTCCACCATACTAACCTAAATGACAGAGTGAAAAGAAGGAAGCTTGTACAGAATAAAAATATTCCAAAACGTGCATCCTGTTTGCAATAAGGCACTAAAGTAAAACTGCAAAAAATCTGGCAAAGAAATTAACTTTATGTTCTGAATACAAAACATTATGTTTCGGGCAAATCCAATGATTTGGAGATTGCATGGCTGTGTGCTCGATTTTATACACCTGTCAGCAACGGGTGTGGCTGAAATAGCCGAATCCACTAATTTGAAGGGGTGTCCACATACTTTTGTATATATAATGTATAAAGCCATGGATGTCTCACAGATTCAGGACACTGTAGTATGTCTTATGAATGCATGTAGGTAAACCCCAAGCCCTTTTCAAACCTCCACATTGGTCTCAGGTAGAAGTTGTCATTAACCCTTTCCTACCCCCTATGCCTAATCATAAGAAGGGGGACATGATGTCTGACCCCCACTCCTCCAAAACTTCCATCTCACTCTGTGGTCCTGTAAACTTTTTTCTCCTGTAGCTTATAGCTAAGCTCACCTAGAGGAGCGCTTTAATAACTCTATTTCCTATCTTTACTGGGGAAGAGAAACTGCTAATTTTTTGCTTACCATATCAGTCTTATTAAATCCCCCGCGAGGATTAGACAAATTGCATTTTATGATCACGTATGATACCCAAAGCGTATGTATCATTAAAATATTATGTTGTGGCATTTCATTTCAATAATGAATCTATATCTAATCCAACTTTGAAGGACATAAAAAATACATTTTATAGGCACAAATAAAAAGTCAGTCAAACACTTCCTGATTTGTTTTCATTATCTTGAGTACATGCATTAGTTAGTGATACAGTCCAACTCCATTAGGTAGTGGGTGTTTGGCTAATGACACAATATTTATTTGACGAAACAACCATAAGAACCGTACACAACTGTAAGTGCTGTTATTGTGAAGTGGAAACATCTAGGAGCAACAACGGCTCAGCCGCGAATTGGTAGGCCACACAAGCTCACAGAACGGGACCGCCGAGTGCTGAAGCCGTCTGTCCTCGGTTGTAACACTCACTACCGAGTTCCAAACTGCCTCTGGAAGCAACGTCAGCACAAGAACTGTTCGTCGGGAGCTTCATGAAATGGGTTTCCATGGCTGGTCAGCCGCATAAAAGCCTAAGATCACAATGCCAAGCGTCGGCTGGAATGGTGTAAAGCGCGCCGCCATTGGACGCCATTGGAGTAATGGAAACTACTTCTATGGAGTGATGAATCACGCTTCACCATCTGGCAGTCCGATGGATGAATCTGGGTTTGGCGGATGCCAGGAGAACGCTACCTGTCCCAATGCATAGTGCCAACTGTAAAGTTAGGTGGAGGAGGAATAATGGTCTGGGGCTGTTTTTCATGGTTCGGGCTAGGCCCCTTAGGAAAAGGCCTTCCCCAAACTGTTGCCACAAAGCTGGAAGCACAGAATAGTCTAGAATGTCATTGTATGCTGTAGGGTTAAGATTTCCCTTCCCTGGAACTGTTTATGATGACCCCGTGCTCAAAGAGAGGTCCATACAGAAAATGGTTTGACGAGGTCAGTGTGGAAGAACTTGACTGGCCTTCACAGAGCCCTGACGTACACCTTTGGGATGAATTGGAACGCCGACTGCGAGCCAGGCCTAATCGCCCAACATCAGTGCCCAACCTCACTAATGCTCTTGTGGCTGAATAGAAGCAGGTCCCCGCAGCAATGTTCCAACATCTAGTGGAAAGCCTTCCCAGAAGAGTGGAGGTTGTTATAGCAGCCAACTCCATATTAATGCCCATGATTTTGGAATGAGTTGTTCGACAAGCAGGTGTCCACATACTTTTGGTTGTGTAGTGTATTAACATGTTTCCTGCAAATCCTTCTATGTGAGGAGGGAGGCTGTCACAGATTAAGACTGTACAAATGGAACACGGAGGATTACTGTTGTGTGTAATTCTCCTCGTTAAATATAGCTGCAAGGTTAGGGTGCATTCAAGTGTGGAGCATAACTCCACATTTTTCCCTTGAATGTTTCATAAACAATTTGGTTTTAATACATTGAAAATAACAGCCAACACTATCTTTAGGTTAAAACCTGTGCTTTATAGCGTTTAAGAATACAAATAATTTGTAAAAAGAGTGAAAGTCTTATCGACACTGTAAATGCAATCATGAAAGTGGAACATTTCAGACCAGTCATTATTCTCGGTTGTGCATCTATCTCCAATCCCAACCGAATAATGCTTACCAGTTGAAACAGTTTTTGCATAATTGATGACTACATTTTGGGATGTTTTTGTTCGTTTTGGTCTTATGTAGGTTTTTTTTTGGCTGTACGTGCTCACAATTTTTGTACTACTTCTAGTAGGAGTGGAAACATTAAGTGTTTGTTGGCATTTAATGAGAGACAACTAGTTTTCATGCAAATATTTCACTTGAGAAATACTGCATCAAACATCTTAGCTAGATGTAAAATTGTGCGACTAAGACCTCTTCTGTAAATATCAAAATTAATGACAGATTACTTAATTCTGACTCATTTGAAGAAGTGTTTCTGGCTATGTTGTTGCTACGGTGTATCAACAGGGACAAACAATAGTAGTATTCTAGCTTTTTTCTTGTTTTTCAAGCGAAGGTCTTTAGGGGGTATGCGAGCAGACTGTTGCTTTGCCTAGCCGGGTTCTGCGAGGAGCAAGCCGAACCTTGGTATGCGGACGCCTTTAGCCTCAGGTTTGACACTGACAGCTCACGCTCAATTGGTCAATTGGCCTGCCAATCAGGAGAGAGGCGAGACATGCCTTATCATCATGACAGAGGCATCATCTGCAATCAGCCTTTCGGGTTTCAGCTGTGTTCAATGAAGGCAGATTCACATGGCATGTCCTCAAGGCAGTATTAGCTCAGTGAGAGTCAGTTCTGACTGACCTGCCAGTGTTTTTTCAAACACAGGTTATTTAGCTTTCTTCCTAAGTAAAATGTCTAAATGCTCTCCAATCTGCATGCAGCTTTGTTGAAGCTTGTTAATAAAAGTAAAAATGTAAGATCAGCCATTCTGTCCTTCTTTGCTCCATTCAATGAATTCAATTATATGTGTCTCACTGATCTTCCTGTGTTGACAAAAATACATAATGCCACAGGATTATCTAGCGTACCATTAAATATCAATTACTCTGTTTGGTGTTATCCTGCAGGATCTGTGTAGTGTGGTGCAAATTTAGACATGGAAATGAAAGCAGGATTTCATGGGTAGAATTTAGCGCATTGCCATGCCTGAGCAGAGAGATTGATTTTCCTAATAAACAGCTTTTAAATGTGTTTTTGTTTATTTGTGGCCGTAGTGAAAGTGCAGAAAAGCAACCTTCACCATTGGGACCCCACTGCCAACTACAGCCACACCCAACACTGCAAGACATGGAGCAGTCCCAGCCACCAGCTCAACCAGCAGGACCACTGCAAATGTAAGTTGGAATGTGTGAATATGCTGCTGGGTATAGTACAGTATATAGCCTTTTTCTTGTTACACGTATGTATTTTGAGTTGGTGTTGATCATCAGTCTTGTTTTTGGTTAATGATCCTAGAATGATCCCAATGATGTTGTGATATCATTGACTTTGTATTAGCATCATATGTAGCCCACGTGGAGTTACAGTTCAAGTGGCGAGTTGCATTATTCTACCTTGAAGGGGATTTCTCTTTGAACTGGTTTGATGTTGTGAGCATGTGTCCTTTCAGCTCTGGTGTGTGGTGGCTTCTCCCCTTCCTCTACAGCCACCTCAGGGTACAGCAGCAACCTAGGCAGTCAGGGCAGCAGCACCCTGCCCTGCCCAATCCCCCCCGTCGCCCCCACAAGCCCCCGCAGCACTACACACAAGAGACGCCAGCGGAGAAAGGAGCACAAGAGCTCACGTATGTGGATGGTTTTTTTTCATGTGTAGTCATAACAGCGTTTTATAATAGTTTGAGAATTGACCCTGCCTCCCCTCGTCAAAGTGGTGACCGCTCTGATGACGGATCACTGACGTAGACGAAGATGACTGAGGGAAAGGCTGATAGCTGACTCGCTCTCTTCGTTTCACACTCGAACACTATCACTTTTCCTTTCTCTCTCTCACGCTCTCTTTTCACTCTGACCATTTTTTCTTCCCCCCCCCCACCCCCTCTCTCGCCATCCATCTCAATTTATCACACTATCCACCCCCTCTTCCTCTGCCAGTGTCCCTAACATCCAGCTCAGTGGGCCCTGGGGGTCAGGTTGTTCACGTGGAGACCAGCGAGGTCATCCTGAGGGGGGATCCACTCCTAGGGTTCGGGGTTCAGCTGCAGGGGGGTGTCTTTGCCACAGAGACCCTGTCCGCTCCTCCAGTCATCCGCTTCATTGAGCCCGACAGCCCTGCCGAAAGGTGACCCACCCACACACAGAGGCGCGCGCACACACGGCCATCCACACAGAGACGTACAGTTAGTCACTCGAGGATGGTGGGGCGTCATCAGGAGTGATGAGGAGAGTCACTGCTTTCTCTGAGGAGTATTAATCTGGGTCTCCTACCTAACCCAAGATGGCAGTGTTTGATCCACAATGTCCTATCAATTACATTAGGCACTTTGCTTTGAGGTAATGGGAATAACTTCAGTGCAGTGGTATTAGAATCTGTTTTTGTGAGAAGCAACTTGATTGATTCTAGTCTACTTTCCCAGTAGTTTATTTGTCACACCACACTTGAAAACTCTTAATGTTGATCCTTGCATTTAATATCTGTTTATTGATTAAGGCAACACGATACAGGCCAATTAACAGCGAGCACTGATTAGGCCAGTGTGTGGTCTTTGCCCTTGTCTTGTAAGATTAATGATAGTGTTTGTATGAACAACAGAAGGCCATGTCCGCTTGGTGGTCTAATACCATTAAAAGGCTCCCGCCGTTGGGAGGGAGTGACTCAAGCAGAACATCCTATTGTAATGTTCGTCTCAGCACTGACGCAAAGGTTAATAAATTGCAGTGGTTAGTGAATTAATCTTAGTTGACAGTGCTCCTATGTGTGTGTCCTGAGTCCTGATCATTATGTGATCATGGAAGTAAGTATGTGTCTGATTGTAGTGTGTGTGTGTGTGTGAGTGTAATGGAAGTGGTTTGGTGAAGTGTCTGTGCCCTTATTCAAGGTCAAGCAAGGTGAAGAGTAATTTTGTTATCAGAGAGATGCTCGAGATGTGTTCTACTTCGGTGACATATTGATTAATTATTCCACAGTGTCACTGGAGTCAGAAATATTGCTGGGAAAATATGTTTACTTAAAGGTTTCCCATTGCTCCTTGCCAGAACAGGACATGAGTTGATTGTGCCCTTCAGGGTCATGACTCAGTGGTTTGTTGATGACAGTTATCAGTGAGATGAGATCAAAAGGTCAAAATGGAGTTGAAATATACTAAATAAAAATATAAATGCAACATGTAAAGTGTTGGTCCCATGTTTCATGAGCTGAAATAAAAGATCCTAGAAATGTTCCATATGCACAAAAACCTTAGTTCTCTCAAATTTTGTGCACAAATTAATTACATTCCTTTTAGTGAGGATTTCTCCTTTGCCAAGTTAATCCATCCACCTGACAGGTGTGGAATATCAAGAAGCTGATTAAACAGCATGATCATTGCACAGGTGCACCTTGTGCTGGGGACAATAAAAGGCCATTCTAAAATGTGCAATTTTGTCACACAACACAATGCGACAGATGTCTCAAGTTTTGAGGGAGTGTGCAATTGGCATGCTGACTGCAGGAATGTCCACCAGAGCTGTTGCCAGATAATTAAATGTTCACTTCTCTACCATAAGCCGCCTCCAACGTCATTTTAGAGAATTTGGCAGTACGTCCAACTGGCCTCAAAACCGCAGACCACGTGTATCTGTATTCCCAGTCATGTGAAATCCATAGATTATGGCCTAATTAATTTATTTCAATTGACTGAAACTTATCTCTGAAATCTAAAGCAGAGTCATGAGCGTAAAGAAAACAAGATGCATCTGTAAATGTGTTTATGCTCCATATAACAGATTTAATGGTAGTAGTCAACATGGATAAGGTTTCTTATCGCTTTACAGCAGGACTCTCATGGTCTCCGCTGAAAATGCTTTTTTGTTTCAGAGTAGGCTTGATCTGGGTCTGGGAAATGGGCCGTAAACGAGAGAAGTATTGGGAAAAACTGTTCCTAACAACTGTTCATTTGGATAAATGTCTGTCTAGTCTAACTGTATAAAGGCCACATTCACTATGAAAAGGAATTTGACATTTCTATCTAAAATATGCTGAATGCCACACAGAATAACCAATTTTCCTTTATTGTACTCTTCTAACTGTGCTTTGTGTTGTCAGATGTGGGCTTCTGCATGTGGGGGACAGACTCCTGTTCATCAACAGAATCCCTACAGAGGATGGAACACTGGAGGAAGCCAATCAACTGCTGCGAAATGCCGCTTTGGCCAATAAGGTCACCTTGGAGGTCGAGTTTGATGTAGCAGGTAATAATAATAATAATAATAATAATATGCCATTTAGCAGACACTTTTATCCAAAGCGACTTACAGTCATATGTGCATACATTTTTACGTATGGGTGGTCCCGGGGATCGAACCCACTACAAGCGCCATGCTCTACCAATTGAGCTACCAATTTGTTCATCAAAGTTGGAAATAGCATCTCTTTTATCAATTTTATATTTTAGTCATTTAGAGCCAGAGCGACTTTATTTAGTGCGTTCATCTTAAGATAGCTAGGTGAGACAACCACATACTGTATCACAGTCATAGTTAGTACATTTTTCCTTAATATGAGTTAAAAGTTAAATTAAGTTAAAAATAAGACAATAATTTGACAGTCTGCATTTTGGTTATTTATGCTTTAATCAATGTGTTAATTTCATGTTTTGTCCCCCATTAGAATCAGTGGTTCCAAGTAGTGGCACATTCCATGTGAAACTGCCCAAGAGGAGAGGAGTGGAACTTGGCATCACCATCAGTGGTGAGAGTACCAGATGCGAACAGCAGGGGGCAACATAGCCCAACATGAGATCCCTTTGCCTTGATATCTCTCTCTGTGGATCAATGCTCTGTGGATCAATGCTCTGTGATCCTTAACTGGTCTCTTAGACTGTCATGAAAGCTACTGCCTAATTATGTCTGATGAATAATAGTGATCTAATACAAGCATTTATCATCAACTCTTTCACACTTTAAAAAGCCTGGAAAAACAAAGGACAGAAATTCTCTGTAGCACAGAGAGGATTTTAAGGAAGTGATACCACATATACTGAAGGTAGTTGGGCAGGCCAACAGTTAACTTCTTATACATGCAATGATTTGGGACTGTTGTGGATGTGTGCACTGAAGTGGAGCATGCAGGTATCCAGAGCAAATGAAAATCATTTGGGTTACATTCAACTCCTGATAAATGTGATATCTATTCCCTGCTATTATCACTGTGGATGTTATGAAAGTTTAATGTAAAGGTGTCTCTGTCTGAACAGCAAGCAAGAGACCCGACAAACCTCTCATCATCTCTGACATCAGAAAAGGAAGCATAGCGCACAGGTATGTCCCACATCCCAATCACATGGAGGAGTCATGCTGATAAGATCAGCAAAGAAACGTCCAAATTACTTGCTTTACTGCCTCTGGTCTGGGGTTAGTTAAGTCTGAAATGCAGTGATACTAGTCAGGAGTAGAACCAGTAGTTTTTCCTCACCATGTGACCTTACCAGGAAAGAGGGCCCTAGTAATAGTGTCTTTTGATGTTTTATCTGGTTTAATTTGCTGCCCTCCTCTCCCCTGCCTGCTAATAGGACGGGCACCTTGGAGCCAGGGGACAGGCTGCTGGCCATCGATAACGTGCGTCTGGAGAACTGCACCATGGAGGACGCCATGCACGTGCTGCAGCAGGCAGAGGACATGGTCAAGCTCCGGATCCAGAAGGACGAGGATAACGCTGGTAGGATGAACACCGAGTCATGCTTCAACAATAAAGATGCAGTCTTGCGTGGAGAGGTTGGTCTAAAGGACACATTTCTGTCCAATGAGGTTGAATTCCCTAGTGGAAACATCTCCAGACTGTATCAAGACATTTCTGTCTATTTACCTAGTATAAACAAACATCATTGCATACCATTTGACACAAGAAAGTTAATGTGTGATTGTGCTGTAAGTGCCCACTTATTTTTCTGTAAAATACCATCTGAAACTGTAAAATGAATTGTAGCAGAGTGTCATGGTGCATTGATTTATGTCATGTGGCCTGTTTTTACATTTAATTTGTGACTCATGTCTGATGTTGTGTGCTAGCTAGTGTGCATGTGACCCAGATTTGAGCTGTTTGGTCTAGTTTATCCCTTATGTAATACCTGTCATATTTATACATGTTCTGAGCTGTTATGCATGCTCTCTCGCTCCCTTTCAGATGAGCTGGAGATGTCTGGTTCCATTATCTACACGGTGGAGCTGAAGCGTTACAACGGCCCGCTGGGTATCACCATCTCAGGCACAGAGGAGCCCTTTGACCCCATCGTCATCTCAGGCCTCACCAAGAAGGGCCTGGCCGAAAGGTGAGAGGGTTGGGGTTCAGGTGTCAGGGGCATGAGGTTGGCGCTGCTATTATAAGAGTGGTTGAGACTATAGGGAAGATCTCAATTGCATACTCCTCGCGCCCTCTCCCCTCTGACCTTTTCGTCCAATGGGTTTTGAGAAGGAGGCGAGGAGAGAAGGCACGAGGAGTATGTAATTGAGATTCTCCCATAGACTGGCTCAAAAGTCCTTTGTCTCCTCTGCTTCATCTGTACTGTATGTATAGACAGGCTAGGTGAAAGCAATATGGTGGATGCCTACCTGGGATCTGATTTCTGTCTGTCAGTCTAGATAGAGGAAGACTCTTTAGACGGTAGGACTATTGAGATGCACCTCGACTCTCCTATTATGGTTATGATTTATGGTTGAAATAAGGACCCTACAGACTGTGATTTTGATTCAAAAAGCAAGCCCTCAAAGCCACACTGTGTAATATATGTCAGTAAACAATAGCTGTCTGGTCTGTTGTTGGCTTAGTCAGCTCTTTGTTACTCTCTCGGCAAACTGGACAGCCAGGCTGTTTCAAGGCCACAACGATACAGAAAGTCTCTGAAACAGATAAGGAGCTATCATAACACTCCTTTATCACCTTCTTATTAGAGCTTGACCAATATATTGTTTCATCGATATTATTATCAATAGTGCCTTGCAAAAGTATTCATCCCGTTGGCGTTTTTCCTATTTTGTTGCATTACAACCTGTAATTTAAATGGATTTTTATTTGAATTTCATGTAATGGACATACACAAAATAGTCCAAATTTGTATTAAAAAAATAACTTATTTCAAAGAATTCAAAATAATTAATAACGGAAAAGTGGTGCGTGCATATGTATTCACCCCCTTTGCAATGAAGCCCCTAAATAAGATCTGGTGCAACCAATTACCTTCAGAAGTCACATAATTAGTTAAATAAAGTCCACCTGTGTGCAATCTAAGTGTCACATGATCTGTCACATAATCTCAATATATATATACACCTGTTCTGAAAGGCCCCAGAGTCTGCAACACCACTAAGCAAGGGGCACCATGAAGACCAAGGAGCTCCCCAAACAGGTCAGGGACAAAGTTGTGGAGAAGTACAGGTTAGGGTTGGATTAAGAAAAAATATCTGAAACTTTGAACATCCCACGGAGCACCATTAAATCCATTATAAAAAAATTGAAAGAATATGGCACCACAACAAACCTGCCAAGAGAGGGCCGCCCACCAAAACTCATGGACCAGGCAAGGAGGGCATTAATCAGAGAGGCAACAAAGAGACAAAAGATAACCCTGAAGGAGCTTCAAAGCTCCACAGCGGAGATTGGAGTATCTGTCCATAGGATCACTTTAAGCCATACACTCCACAGAGCTGGGCTTTACGGAAGAGTGGCCAGAAAAAAAGCCATTGCTTAAAGAAAAAAAATAAGCAAACACATTTGGTGTTCGCCAAAAGGCATGTGGGAGACTCCCCAAACATATGGAAGAAGGTACTCTGGTCAGATGAGACTAAAATTGAGCTTTTTGGCCATCAAGGAAAACGTTATGTCTGGCGCAAACCCAACACCTCTCATCACCCAGAGAACACCATCCCCACACTGAAGCATTGTGGTGGTAGCATCATGCTGTGGGGATGTTTTTCATCGGCAGGGACTGGGAAACTGGTCAGAATTGAAGGAATGATGGATGGCGCTAAATACAGGGAAATTCTTGAGGGAAACCTGTTTCAGTCTTCCAGAGATTTGAGACTGGGACGGAGGTTCACTTTCCAGCAGGACAATGACCCTAAGCATACTGCTAAAGCAACACTCAAATGGTTTAAGGGGAAATATTTAAATGTCTTGGAATGGCCTATTCAAAGCCCAGACCTCAATCCAATTGAGAATCTGTGGTATGACTTAAAGATTGCTGTGCACCAGCGGAACCCATCCAACTTGAAGGAGCTGGAGCAGTTTTGCCTTGAAGAATGGGCAACAATCCCAGTGGCTAGATGTGCCAAGCTTATAGAGACATACCCCAAGAGACTTGCATCTGTAATTGCTGCAAAAGGTGGCTCTACAAAGTATTGACTTTGGGGGAGAGTGAGTAGTTATGCACGCTGAAGTTTTCAGTTTTTTTGTCTAATTTCTTGTTTGTTTCACATTTATTTTTATTTTGCATCTTCAAAGTGGTAGGCATGTTGTGTAAATCAAATGACACAACCCCAAAAAAAATCAGGCACAAAATAGGAAAAATGCCAAGGGGGGTGAATACTTTCGCAAGCTGCTGTATTATATTCGATTAATAGGATGAAAAAGGAAAATATGTAAAAAATTAAATGATCTATTGTATTGTTACAGTTAGGAGGTTCAAACACAAGGTTTCCACAGGATAGCAGGAAGTCGCTTTCTCAGCAAAACCTCTCACAGACCTAGCCTGGTTCCAAATTTGCATGTGCTTCAGGGAAGAGAACTGAGTTGTGAAGAAGCACAGAGCCATGGAAGAGTGACTGCTTAACTGCAGTGTTTTTCCCCTACCCTTAGCGTTGGCACACAAAACAAAAGTATTTGAATACACTTGTTGAAGGGCGTTGCAGCATGTCATCACAACCACCAGTGGTGAGAGCCTGCTTGAGCGGTTATTCTCATCCTCTATGCCGAAATTGGTTTTAGGTGGTTTGAACAACCAATTACCTTCTTGTTTACTTATCTTATCTAATGTTTGTAATATGCTTGATATGTACAGTGCATTCGGAAAGTATTCAGACCCCTTCACTTTTTCCACATTCTGTTACGTTACAGCCTTATTCTAAAATGGAGAAAAGTAAAATGGAGAAAATAATTTTTTTCCTCATCAATCTACACACAATACCCCATAATGACAAAGCAAAAACAGGTTTCTACAACTTGATTGGAGTCCACCTGTGATAAATTCAATTGATTGGACATGATTTGGAAAGGCACACACCTGTCTATATAAGGTCCCACAGTTGACAGTGCATGTCAGAGCAAAAACCAAGCCATGAGGTCGAAGCAATTGTCCGAAGAGCGCAGAGACAGGATTGTGTCGAGGCACAGATCTGGGGAAGGGTACCAAAGAATTTCTGCAGCATTGAAGGTTCCGAAGAACACAGTGGCCTCCATCATTCTTAAATGGAAGAAGTTTGGAACCACCAAGACTCTTCCTAGAGCTGGCCGCCTGGCCAAACTGAGCAATCGGGGGAGAAGGGCCTTGGTCAGGGAGGTGACCAAGACCCGATGGTCATTCTGACAGAGCTCCAGAGGTCCTCTGTTGAGATGGGATAACTTTCCAGAAGGACAACCATCTATGCAGCACTCCACCAATCAGGCCTTTATGGTAGAGTGGCCAGACGGAAGCCATTCCTCAGTAAAAGGCACATGACAGCCCGCTTGGAGTTTGCCAAAAGGCACCTAAAGACTCTCAGACCATGAGAAACAAGATTCTCTGGTCTGATGAAACCAAGATTAAACTCTTTGGCCTGAATTCCAAGCGTCACGTCTGGAGGAAACCTGGCACCATCCCTACAATGAAGCATGGTGGTGGCAGCATCATGCTGTGGGGATGTTTTTCAGCGGCAGGGACTGTCAGGATCGAGGGAAAGATGAACGGAGTAAAGTACAGAGATATCCTTGATGAAAACCTGCTCAGGACCTCAGACTGGGGCGACGGTTCACCTTCTAACAGGACAACATTTTTACATTTTAGTCATTTAGCAGACGCTCTTATCCAGAGCGACTTACAGTTTTAGTGAGTGCATAAATTTTTCATACTGGCCCCCCGTGGAAATCGAACCCACAACCCTGGAGTTGCGAGTGCCATGCTCTACCAACTAACCCTAAGCACACAGCCAAGACAACGCAGGAGTGGCTTCGGGACAAGTCTCTGAATGTCCTTGAGTGGCCCAGCCAGAGCCCGGACTTGAACCCGATCTTACATCTCTGGAGAGAACTGAAAATAGCTGTGCAGCGACGCTCCCCATCCAACCTGACAGAGCTTGAGAGGATCTGCAGAGAAGAATGGGAGAAACTCCCCAAATACAGGTGTGCCAAGCTTGTAGGGTCATACCCAAGAAGACTCGAGGCTGTAATCACTGCCAAAGGTGTTTCAACAAAGTACTGAGTAAAGGGTCTGAATACTTATGCAAATGTGATATTTCCGTTTTTTAATTGTAATACATTTGCAAACATTTCTAAAAACCTGTTTTTGCTTTGTCATTATGGGTTATTGTATGTAGATTGAAAAACAATTTCATCCATTTTAGAATAAGGCTGTAAAAAGTTGGAAAAGGTCAAGGGGTCTGAATACTTTCCGAATGCACTATATCTGTTGTCTCAAGATACCCTAGGAAATGACAAGGGGCGTCTTCCTTTAAAGGAATACAAATATTGTCTTCTGTCTGTAGGACTGGTGCCATCCATATAGGGGACCGTGTCCTGGCCATCAATTGTGTGAGTCTGAAGGGGAAACCCCTGAGCGAGGCCATCCATCTACTCCAAATGGCCGGAGAGACTGTCACCCTCAAGATCAAGAAACGCCAAGACGGTATGTACTGTTATTGTTAAGTTTGTTAATCAAGTTGCTTTAAAAAAGAATGCATGGAAGGAGATGCTGAGCCTCGTATTTGTTAGAAGAGTTCCATTGACATAAATACATTACCTTTCATTACATAATTGAGTTAGGATTCTCTCTTGCCTCTCCATTTACTGTCTCTCTCTGTTCCCATGCAGAATCGGAAGGGCAGCAGACGTCGGAGCAGGCAGGGTTCCTGAGCGACACAGAGGATGAGCTGACTGACTCCCAGAAGACCAGTAAACACTCAGGGGTGTACTCTACCACCGGGCCCAGCGTGGACTCTGCCGTGAGCTCCTGGGACTGTTCCGGCAGCCAAGGTGAGGACAGAACCCTGTGTAGCTCAGTTGGTAGAGCATGGCGCTTGCAACGCCAGGGTTATGGGTTCGATTCCCACGGGGGGCCAGTATGAAAATGTATACACTCACTAATTGTAAGTCGCTCTGGATAAGAGCGTCTGCTAAATGACTAAAATGTCAAATGTAACACGGCAGCATAGTCATTACCAGTTTAGACAACCAGCTTAGGCCACTTTAGACGATTGCTATGCTCACATGACTGTCCTTAAATCAGTTGTTAGGGGTGGGTAGAATGTTATCATCTTTATTTATGTTTGTTTTTGTCCTTTGTGTGCAGGAACGTATCTCCACAGATCTGCGGATTTGACCTTCCAGCCTAACGAGTGGAGACGCACCAAACCGCCCAGGACTCACCTCACCTCCACTGGCCTTACCGGCCTTACCCACCACTCCCACCTCTACGATGGGAGATACACTGAGGATGACTGGGATAAGGCTGCTGGGTGAGTGCTTACTTCAGACTAGAACCATGGATTAGTAGCCTGGTTCCGGGTCTGTTTGTGCTTTACAGTGGGGAAAAAAAGTATTTAGTCAGCCACCAATTGTGCAAGTTCTCCCACTTAAAAAGATGAGAGAGGCCTGTAATTTTCATCATAGGTACACATCAACTATGACAGACAAAATTAGAAAATTAAATCCAGAAAATCACATTGTAGGATTTTTTATGAATTTATTTGAAAATTATGGTGGAAAATAAGTATTTGGTCAATAACAAAGTTTCTCAATACTTTGTTATATACCCTTTGTTGGCAATGACACAGGTCAAACGTTTTCTGTAAGTCTTCACAAGGTTTTCACACACTGTTGCTGGTATTTTGGCCCATTCCTCCATGCAGATCTCCTCTAGAGCAGTGATGTTTTGGGGCTGTCACTGGGCAACACGGACTTTCAACTCCCTCCAAAGATTTTCTATGGGGTTGAGATCTGGAGACTGGCTAGGTCACTCCAGGACCTTGAAATGCTTCTTACGAAGCCACTCCTTCATTGCCCGGGCGGTGTGTTTGGGATCATTGTCATGCTGAAAGACCCAGCCACGTTTCATCTTCAATGCCCTTGCTGATGGAAGGAGGTTTTCACTCAAAATCTCACGATACATGGCCCCATTCATTCTTTCCTTTACACAGATCAGTCGTCCTGGTCCCTTTGCAGAAAAACAGCCCCAAAGCATGATGTTTCCACCCCCATGCTTCACAGTAGGTATGGTGTTCTTTGGATGCAACTCAGCATTCTTTGTCCTCCAAACACGACGAGTTGAGTTTTTACCAAAAAGTTATATTTTGGTTTCGTCTGACCATATGACATTCTCCCAATCCTCTTCTGGATCATCCAAATGCACTCTAGCAAACTTCAGACGGGCCTGGACATGTACTGGCTTAAGCAGGGGGACACGTCTGACACTGCAGGATTTGAGTCCCTGGTGGCGTAGTGTGTTACTGATGGTAGGCTTTGTTACTTTGGTCCCAGCTCTCTGCAGGTCATTCACTAGGTCCCCCCGTGTGGTTCTGGGATTTTTGCTCACCGTTCTTGTGATCATTTTGACCCCACGGGGTGAGATCTTGCGTGGAGCCCCAGATCGAGGGAGATTATCAGTGGTCTTGTATGTCTTCCATTTCCTAATAATTGCTCCCACAGTTGATTTCTTCAAACCAAGCTGCTTACCTATTGCAGATTCAGTCTTCCCAGCCTGGTGCAGGTCTACAATTTTGTTTCTGGTGTCCTTTGACAGCTATTTGGTCTTGGCCATAGTGGAGTTTGGAGTGTGACTGTTTGAGGTTGTGGACAGGTGTCTTTTATACTGATAACAAGTTCAAACAGGTGCCTTTAATACAGGTAACGAGTGGAGGACAGAGAAGCCTCTTAAAGAAGAAGTTACAGGTCTGTGAGAGCCAGAAATCTTGCTTGTTTGTAGGTGACCAAATACTTATTTTCCACCATAATTTGCAAATAAATTCATTAAAAATCCTACAATGTGATTTTCTGGAATTTTTTTCCTCAATTTGTCTGTCATAGTTGACGTGTACCTATGATGAAAATTACAGGCCTCTCATCTTTTTAAGTGGGAGAACTTGCACAATTGGTGGCTGACTAAATACTTTTTTTCCCCACTGTATCTGACTCCTAAAGCACATGCAGATCTGGACCTGGCTAATGGATTTAATAGGTATAATAATTTTACATCAAACATCTTGTTTCATTTTGTGGCTTTCAATGTTGTTATTTTTTCCTTTTAATCTACAAGTATGCCTTCTGTATGCCTCTATTGATGTATGTAAGCAATGAGCAACATAAACGTTGAAAAAATAATATCTTTCAAGTCCGGTTTAGTCTAAAACTCAATATGTATTGATTCACTGCCAGCTATCGATTTGTAAAGTGAATCCAAGAAATCTGCAACTTCACTCAAATATTTGGCTTTAGAATTTTTCTCTAAATCTCCACAGCTGTTTCATTCTTCCATGTTGTCGTGCTTTGTCTATCTGTGCCTTTTCTTTCTTTCTCAGGTATTCTCTCTCTCATCTGCTTTACTAACTGCCCGTGAGGTTCCTGGTGTTTCACATAAACACATATTTTTCTTTGTCGCTTCTGCCTTCACCAAACCTGTCTCTAAAGCACCCAAAGGCCCCATGGACACACACCTGTTCCTTGTCTGTTGCCTCACTCTTGACTCTTGACTTTCTTTTTTTCTCAACTTTTGTGTCCCTCACTGGCACAAACTGTCAACTCTTAAATACTTTTTGGGTGGCCTAACTTTTAATCTGTGAACTATCTGCATGAAGGCTCTGTCTGTTCTAGGGGAATACACTGTTTTGCGCTGCTACTGTGATAGTGAGAGAGTTAACGCTTGCCCTCCCTGAGGCCTGAAAGGTTTTTAAAGGACCTCTCGCCGCCATGCAGTGCAATGCCTGCATTACCCACGCTGCTTTGCAGGCCACACCCGTTTCAAACCAGACGCAAACGTCCGCAGTCCCAGCACAGCAAGGCTCCTCTGATGTTCTGGTTACTCGTTGTCATAGATATGCCAGCCCCCCTCGTTGCCATGGCACCCTGAACCAGGAGGACAGCTTCTGGTCCCAGGCCCTGCAGGACCTAGAGACCTGCGGCCAATCAGAGATACTCAGGGAGCTGGAGGTAGGCTACATCTCCCTCCATCTGTTCCAATCTACTACTAAATGAAGCAATGCAAAAGTCTGATTGTCTAGACAGTCCAGACACCCGCTACCACCTTTTCTATTCAGTCAAGCTGTGTGTACATAGGAACGTGCGTGCAGTATATTAAGTTATTTCCTTCACATGCCTATAATTTAACAATCCTGTTGTCTTCTCCCAGGCGTCCATGACAGGCAGCACTCTTAGCCTGTATCTGGAGGAGACCAAGTCCCAGGAAGACTCAATGCTAGAGAGCAGAATCAGTCCTGTGAAGAGGGGTCCCATCCATAACGAGCCCAAGACCAAAGGCAACCTGCAGAGGTCCAACAGGACCAGGGACACACCCCCCAGAGGGAGAGTAGAGGCCCAGGAGACCACTTCCCCTACATCCCTGGAACTACTGAAGGTATATAGCAGGATGGCAAGGGGCATCTCAATTCAGTTCATTTAGAAAGTGCATTAAAGTTCCTATTCATGGACTGAAAAATGATTGGAATTTCAGTTCACTTCATGAATTCACTAACTTGAAATGCGAACTGATGTCAACCCTGGTCCATGGGGAATGATGTGGAGTGATTTCCAATCCAATCCAGGCTTAAAGCATGACTAGCTACCATATAATCGACAACCCTGTAAAGGTATTGATCAGTGAACTGTAGCCTGACCCTACTCTACATTTAAGTGATAATGCCCAAGAAGCTGGTATTTTGAGGATATATTGGCATGGGTGTTGTTAGGCCCGAGACGAAGTCGATATATCTACCAAACACCCGCTTCAAGGGCATTATCACTTTTATACAACGGGTTACCAACGTATTCAAATAATGATTGACATATTTTCATAAAAAAACGTTATTTTGATTAATTTATTCATACTATTTCATCCTTCCACAAGATATAGTCCCAACACAAATCTAGGGTTGCTACCCAAGCCGGCTGGTCGTTCGTTCTATCGGTTCGGTTGCCAGAGACGCGACCCAGTCGTTCAGTCTTTTTGATCTGTTTCTATGGACGCGACCCAGTCGTTCAGTCTTTTTGATCTGTTTCTATGGACGCGACCCAGTCGTTCCATTGCCATAGTGGCTCGCAACGTTCTTATCCCTTGCTTGCTAACTAGCCAACCCACGGCTAATTTACAGTCACGTCAAACAGTGCAGCCAGAATAACAACAGTAGCTGCATTTGCATTTGTTTAAGCTGTTTTCTAGTGACATTTATTTGGATACATCCATAACAATGAGCTAATGAGGCGTGATTTCGGCTGGTATAGAAAATGTGCTCTCTCGTCAGGACACTGTTGTTCAGAGGAGGTAGCCAACAGCACAGCTACAGTAACACAATCACTTCAAACTGAAGCTGGAAAGACTGCAAACTAGCTGCACTTTGTTTCATTTGACCTTATTTCAATGTACCTTATTTCTTTGTATATATCCATAAAAATGATGCCAGCTGATTCATGATTTTGAACGGCTGAGAAACGCTGCCTGTCTCTCGTCCTGACTCCCGACAAGTTCATTACTATGTGACAGCTGGAGATCGAATTTCAATATTGAAACAATGTTGCAAATGTCGGAGAGACAGACAGCAAGGTTTTTCAAATCTCCGCTGTTAAAAACTAAATGTTAGTCTAAAAGAAATGTGAGATAATGTCCAGATGCTTTTTATCGTGGAGATCAAGTTTATAAATTACTTGTGGAATAGACACAAGCTGGAATGGGGTTTTAACCAATCAGCCTTCAGGATTAGAACCACCCGTTGTGTAATATGGTACAAACAGCAGTCTCCAGGGAGAACATGCCTGTTGGGTTCAATTAATATCTTACCCTGAGCCTCACCCTTCACTAACTGAACTGCACGCTACCCTGCCCATCACTGGAGTGTAACTGGACTCGGTGAATGCCAGGCCAGTCAGGACTTGTAGTGTGTGGGATAATAGATAACAAACATATAACACTGCACACTGAGCCTGCTCATTATAATGTAGTGCACTAGCTCCTGGTGTTGTGAGCCCTATTGTCCCTTCGCCACATCCCGTGACCCCACTACATGTACAGTAGAAGTCTGTTCTATTGTGCTGCAGTGTACTGTTGGTTTAGGCAGTGGGGTTGAATGAGGGCACAAGCACTTAGTAACTGAATCTAACCCCACTCTTAAAAAACAAACATTCATTGCAGATTGAGTCTGCTGAGGGGAGGACGGCTCATAATAATTGCTTGAACGGAGCGAATGGAATGGCATCAAGCCCAAGGACACCATGTGTTCGCTGTATTTGATACCATTCCACCAATTCCGCTCCAGCCATTACCCCAAGCCCGTCCTCCCCAATTAAGGTGCTACCAACCTCCTGTGATTGAATGACTGTTGATATTGGTATAATTACCTCTGACAGCCAACCTGTTTGGACGCAATTCCATAGCTAATCTGCATAATTTACATTGCAAAACCATATCATAACTCACTTAGCCGGTGGAGATGTGTGACCTGTAAAGCCCAATTCCCATGACTTCCGCAAGAATGGCATTGCGCCGAACAAGCCATTGTTTTTCAATGGAGGAGGCGTTACGCTCAGCAAGAGCGTTGTGGCGAGCTAGGCCCTTTGGGGTCAGCGCCATTACACTCAGAGTTTAAGTACATTTACACCCCGCACTGTGTCGGACCCAACAGAGAGCTTGGCGACTTGCATGGGTCAAGTGAATGTGCCTTACTGTCTGTCCTATAGGTGACACTGAGGAAGGACCCAGACTGTGGAGACTTTGGCTTCAGTGTGTCAGACGGCCTCCTGGAGAAAGGCATCTATGTCAACATGATCCGACCAGATGGCCCTGCCAACCAGGCCGGGTTGAAACCCTACGACCGCATTCTGCAGGTACACGTCTTTGTTCAACTAACATTTTGAATAAAATGTTTTTATTAATACTGTACCTCTTTGTTATGTTGAACTGACCGCTCCTGTCCCAGGTGAACAGAGCGAGGACCAGAGACTTTGACTGCTGCCTGACCGTTCCTCTCATCACTGAAGCAGGAGACAGCTTGGACCTGGTCATCAGCAGAAACTCCCTGGCACAGGCAGATAATGGGCCACCTCTGGACTGTGAGGACCCCTCTGACTCCCTGTTCAGCTTCCTACATTACAGTACCAATAGTATCGCCCTGTGAAAAAGGTCCTGGGGGGAGGTTATGGATAATAGCACGTTAAAATGGTGTTACACATTATACCATGTGACACGTAGGCACTGCACGTCACACACACTGGTTTTGTTTTGTCATATCTCTTGTACACACACACAGAATCACATTCGCACGTGCGAATACATGTGTATGTGAATAAACACACAGACACACTCTGTCAGTCACTAATTCACACTCCCACACACATGCATTCACCGTGACCAGTGTTAGTCAGTGTATTCATGTGATGTAGAGCAGAGGACGTTCAGTCAGGCTTCTGGGGCTGTTCAGGCAAAACCACATGTAGTTACATAACAGCTTCAGACTCAGCCTGGATGAGAACACTAGCCTTGCTCAGCTCTGCAGAAATCCCAGAGAAACATAAACACACACTTCCCTCTCAGAGAAGGTGCGTTCGGGACACAGCACCACCACAGCGTTTTGTTTTTGTTCTTAAAAAGATTAAGTGAAATGTGTGCAATTGTGACCCTCTGTGACCTCTTGCTGGGGAATGGTGGAGTTGCACGTACACACACACTTGACACACGAACGTGCGCCCATGCGGGGTGTTCGAGGAGTCCAGGCATGCTGTGCTGGACTATTATTTGAGCCATGTCTTGGCTGGCTGCCCTCTCCTTCCCTTCAGCCCGGCCTGGCCATCCAGCACCCCACACTGTTAGCGCCACAAATTACCGTAGATAGAATGCTAAGCTGGCATTCACTGTTACTTGCCATGTACTGCAAACATTTCTATTTTAGGTACCTCACTCTCTATCCTAAAGTCTAAAATGTTTGTGAAAATGTATTTGGGTCCAAGTTTTATGGCCGTCATGTGAAGGACAAATACTTACCAAGGCCTTTTTTATCACAGCTTCATTGCTCAGAACAAAAGTTGCAGAATGTTTCTTTCTCTCGTTACATTTCTCACACCGTGTTATTAGCTACTGTATAGACTGGGCAGACATTTGTCATTCATTACTTTTTGGGATCAGCATTTTTTGTTTGAAGGTTCTTGTCAATGGTTTTATGCTATCAAGTTCACTTTATTTCTGAAACCAAACCACACACTGTTTTTGCTTGTATGCACTAGTAGGTCACCTAAATCAGATCCATGCACTAGATTGACATGATTTATCACTCAAGATTTAAATGTATTATACAACTAATGGTGATACTGTCACAATCTTTGTTTTGAAAAGCTTTGTCACACACTCTGAAGGAGTGTTCCTTGTCATTAAAACATAGTATTCTGATTCTGTTCCGGGAGCTCACGTTTCTCCTACACCTCTTTAAAATGTTACCCTCAATATCAGCATCTCTTGTGAGGCCAGGCGTTTTTACTGACTAGAAAACCTCATGGCCGTAGTCCTATACAAACATGTTTCAGAAGGCACTACACCAGAGATACTTACAGTACAGTACCAACTCTCAGGAGTACAGAGTGGTTTCCCCACAAAAAACATCATAAGTGAATCACATCCCCTGCCAAATGTGGAATGAAATACCTTTCAATTGAGATGATGAATGATTTCGTTTGAACCTTTTAAAGACATTTTAATGTATCTGTTGAGGTTTAGGCCTCAACTCTCCATAGGGTATGGACTTGGATTAGAGAGTATTTTCCCCAGCTTCCATGCCTGTTTCTCCCTCCCATGTTAGTAAGCATGGTAAACATGAAGCTATAGGATTTAATGTCCCACCCAGTAGAAAGCTTGCATTATTCACAAGGGGGAATTTTAGAGCTTTTCTGTGCTGAACAATTGCCATCTCTGTCCTGCTAAGTAAGACAGAACCTTCACTATAGCTGTTCCCGTTTTATCATGACATTATATGTTTTTATAAAGCTCTTACGTAACACGTCTCGTCCTGGCCTGCTTACCAAGTTGCCTCAGTGGAAATAAGATTTGTTTCATGTCATGTAATGGCTGGGGAAGAGATGTGAGACTGCAGAGTCATGCTGTCCCATTCAGGGCTCAACTCACTGCTTTTTAATCCTCAGAAAGGAAACACATTTTAAGATTGTTTTTATGTTGCTCTCAAACTGTCATACAACATCAAATGTCCCATTTGATACAGAGGCCTATTTTTGGTTCTATTCATTTTATTTGAGGTGGTTCTGAATATTATTCAGTAAAGTCTGTACAACATGGTCTCCCTTCCTAAGTACAGTGTTTTTATTTGAACTGATATTCTGCATGTGTGGTTTTGTATGTAAGATGTGACTGAGTGCAGTATCTGTTCTCTGTACAGTTCTTCTGTTTACATTGTCCCCAGCTGCATCCAAGCATAGATATTTAAGTGGGGGGTCTGAAGGAAATTGGTTTGTAAGATGTTATTGGATTCTTTGGTGAGAGATGTATTTCCTGCTTTTTATGAAAATAAAGATATGAGGAATGGAGTGTCTGTTTTTTCTTTCTTGAATTCTTCTATGAGAGCCATTATCTTTGCTAGGTCTATATTTGGATATTAAGCGAAGGAAGGTTTACAGAAAGAACATTCCTGAAACAATTAGTTAAATCATGATTTCATGCCTATTTCTACCAAGAACGACCTTGTTCCAGCCAGGTTTGGCCAGCCTCTCCTAACAGTGTTTGTGCCAGGTAACAAGCTGATAGTAAATCTACAATGGTCTCAGTCCCGCCACACTCACTTCTCTGTAGATGTGACTGTCACGTCTTTGTGGGAGAGGTGTCAACATGGTTTCCACTTGCCTAGAAGGGACACCTAGGATCATTTACCAGAAATGTCAATGCAGGGTTGTCAAACTAATGGATTATATTATATTTCCTCGCTGTTAAAATTTGCAAAAAGTAGTCCTCTATCCATCGACTTTAACATTTTCGATGCTCCCTGACTTTCTTGATTTCGTTTCGATGACTGTTAGCAAGCTGGATAGAGTGAAGAGACTATATGGGTCCGTTATCATTTCTACAAAGTAGATTTTTTTTTTACTGAGCACCCGCGGGACGGATTGAAAAGGCTGTATCTTTGACATCCCTGTGTCAATGTAAGGCCGAAGCAAGAGGGCAAAGGAGGACTGAAGTTCAAATAATTATAGTTGGCTATTTTGGGGGTGGAGTGCAAGTTGTATTGTGATTCATTGAAGCAGCACTTGCTCAACAAAACAGTATTGATAAGGTGACGCTACATTCCTTTCAGTATTAATCAGGTATTAGATTACTCAAGGTTACTCATCACGTCCATAGTGCACTGAACAAATTACACTAAACGCACATGTTTCTGGCACTGGTGACAGGGTCAGAGTTTTCCCCAACACTAAAGGGATTTCTCAACTGTTCAATTCCTCTGTCTGCCATTCCAACGTGTCAACTTATACCTTTGAGGTGACGCTTAATGCCCATTTTGGCTTACACTAGATAGATTAAACTAATGGAGGCACATTTCAATAGGCATGACATCTCTGCTTCTAATCTGTTGGAAGTTAAAGATGCACTAAACAGAAATGGTAATAGTTCGCCTAATATACAAGCAAGTATAGTGCTGAGTCATTGTACCATCTAAACCACTGTGAAATATATTTTCCATAACCAAAAATATTGTATTTTCAGCTGTTTGAAGCTGGTGTACAAAACCGAAAGTAAAAGATGCCAAAAACATACTTAAGGACGCGAAGCATAGAAATAGCGCACATAGAACAGATCTACCGCTTCTTAGACTTGCTTTCAATGAGAATGACATATCTGTAACACATTTCTATGTGAATTTGGTTGGGTCGCCCAAAAAGTTACATATTGCAGCTTTAAGTAACTCAGAGAGAAATGAATGGGATGTGTGTGGTCATTTTGATGGGGTGTGTGATTACAGGAAAAAGTCTGTTCAAATTTGGGCGTCAGCAGTATGGGCAATAGTATTTTTATTCACTCTGTAATTGCTAAAATGTTATATTCGTCTGCTCTTCACACCAACATTATTTAGATAATTACACAAGCTACACTTTTATTGTGTGGTTATTTAAGCCTCCTTATTTTAATGCACTTGTTTTAAGTCACTGTCAATATGTAAATGTCGGGTATACTATGAATGTAGAAAATATCTTGCATCCTCATGTTGGAAGTGAATGTGTGTAGTCACATGAAAATATATTACAGTTTACTATAGAGTACTACATTACTTACTATAGAATTCTGTGGTTTACTGTAGAATACTATACTACACACTGTCGTATCCCTCGATCACATGTGGTACTTACTGTATAATTTTGTAGTAAACTGTAGAATACGATAGTAAATACTGCAGTAATGTCTGCGAAAACACAGCAGTCCACAAAACACTACAGTTTTTTAACTATAGTAAATACTACTGTATTTAATTTTCATATACCCTGCCTATTCCCCTCCCCTATATCCCAATTTGGCCAACCATAAGTGGGAATACATGCCAAGTATAGACCATATAATGTGTTCCCTACAGGTTATAGAAAATAGCAGCTCTTAACTTTCCATCTCAGTCCTACCTACCTACAGGTTATGGAAAATGTGCTATTTTAGTATTTCTCCAGTAGGTTTCCTCAAGGAGAAAGCCTCCACTTCTATGTCAAAGATAATAAAACCAAAAAATGATAGTAAATACTACAGTGATGTCCACAAAAACACTACAGTAAATACCACAGTATACTGCATTCAGCAAAAACACTACAGTAAATACTACAGTATACTGCATTCAGCAAAAACCACTACACTATATACTACAGTATACTACAATCTGCAAAAACACCACATTAATTACAATAGTATATAGTATTCTGTAAATTCTACAGTATACTACAGTAAATACTACAGGGTTCACTGTAGTGTTTTTGCTAACTTTAGTCTACAGTAAAGTCCACAAACACACTACAGTGAATACTAGAGTATTTATACCATAATATGCTATAGTATTTTTTCATGTGGGGTGTTTTCATACTGTAGCTGTCTGTATGAGGAAGAAGCAGACCAGTTGGCCCCTATATGCACTTACAGAACAAATGAATAATTCACTCCAGGACGTGTAAATAAAAATATGTTTATTTTCAATCAAGGAAGAGATGATGCAAGGTGCATCTCAAAGGGGGATGGATGTTAGACAAAAATACTTTGGTACACTTGATTTTCCAACAGGTGTTTTTTTTATTGCATTCTGGACAACACATTTTGTTGACCAGGCACTGTACTATGGTTGTTCATGTACATGCTTTGGGTTAAGGAATCTCATTTTAACATTCATATTTTGTATGTTGGTCACATATCATGTTTAGTATTTTTACATCTGTTTTCAAACTGAAATAATTTGAGTGCTAAAGGCCATTTATTTGATGAATATTGCACACTGCAAATTTCATTCAGGCTCATAACATTTAACATTAAAATATGAATTGCTGACTGTATTCAGAAGAAATAGATAATCAGTGACAGTGTTCATATGCTGTACAGTATAAAATGGTTAATACAAAAAGGCATACGTGATTCACAAACAAGTAAATTACTAAAATACAATTGAGTCTGGTGGTAGTTTCGTATGATACAGATATTTATTGACCATCACTGCTATTAAAATGAGCGCACTGGAGAAAAAACAATTATTTCAAATTTTTTGAAAAATCATTTTGTTAAGGTTACATTTTTGCTCCAATTAAATGATGGTTCTTACAGCTCTCACAGGTTTGGTCATAGAGAGACAGAATGTTGTATGGCAATGTTCCACCTTTATTTTTGTTTTTTATATTTACAGCAAGTGAGTGAGAGTATATAATGCTCATGTTTGAACAGATAGATATCAAAGTGAACAATATAAAAAAGGTTTGAAGCTATATACCTTTTCTTTTTAAATTTACGTTGCAAATGTAACTGCAAATTTTCATAACAGATCACTACAGTAAAGGTGAAACTCAATGTATAAAGTGCAAAGAGAGGTTTCAATAAATGCACTGAGACTGACTGTCTTAGGCAATGTACAAATACTCTTAAAATGCTTCTTCCCTTTTCTCCTTAACTTCCTCCTAAGGATCCTTCCGGGAACATTTTGTACAGTATTTGGGCAGTGCCATTGTAACCTTAAGGATGTACGTATGAACTACTATATCTACACTGCATGTTACATTTACATTTTAGTAATTTAGCAGACGGTCTTATCCAGAGTGACTTACAGGAGCAATTAGGGTCAAGTGCCTTGCTCAAGGGCACGTTGAGAGATTTTTCACCTAGTCAGCTCAGGGATTCGAACCAACGACCTTTCGGTTAATGGCCCAACGCTCATTCAGCCTAGGTGGTGTGGACGTCTACTCTACCAGCAGGTGTGAGTGGCTGGCATCCGGTGCTAGTGCATCTCACAACAAACGACGGCGACAACAGATCTCAAATGACCTCAGACAATGATACTGCCACAATAATGTGAGGATATTATCTTAATAGTTTGCTACCTAACATGTTACACGGTTAGTTACACGTTCAGTTTACTGTATTTGTGTTGAGTGAAAATTCTCCACAATCAACAGAAAGGTAGTTAACATAGAACAACATGTTCTATCTCAAAATACTGCCTAAACTGAGATCGCCACCCACTACAGCAACAACGGTAACAACAACAATACGATTTTTTTAAATTACCAAGATAAAAAACAACAACCCAACAACAATATATATATATACAGTATATAACTCTCTTCATCATCATCATCATCATAGAAACCAAACCAGAATATTCCTAGTGCGGATATATAGAACAATTTAAACCTGGTTCTACCACTATCAAAGTTAGCAAATATATGATAATAACATAGACAGCACGCCAATCAGTATTTCCTCTCACAGAGAGTGCTCACATCATCGTTTCTACAATGGTGTGGGTGGGCTTGATCAGGATGTTGTTCCCATTGGGGTTCAGAGGCTGGGTCAGCTCGCTGCCCTTCACACTGTACTCTTTGGGGCGAGAACTCGCACCTCCCTTTACTGGGGCAGCCACTGCCTTAATCCTCTGTGGGTTGGAGAGGAGAATGTCATATGACCCACATGACATGAAAATGATGCAATGATAAAAAGCCACTTTGTATAAATCCTTGTGTCATGCCATGAAATCACATGACATGGTATACTGTAACATGTAGACGGCTTATATCATGTGTGCCATATCATACAAGTTATGCAATTGCATACTGAATGCCATTACCACAATTCTGCACTCCCTTTCAGGCAGTGTTTGTATTCATACAACTAGGAGTTCGGACATCTAGGTTATCTAGCATCATCTTTTGTGTTTGCGTACCTCTATGAGTGGTCCGTCGGACTGGAGGATCTTGATGACCATTACCAAGGGGATGCAGATCATGGAGGCAAGGGCCAGAGACCAGCCCAGGCCGATAGACCAGTCTGGGTACTCATACACCTTGTTATAGGTCAGGGGCTTGTACTTCACCAATGAGAAGATAAAGCAACCCTGGGAACAACAACAAGAAAAATGGTTTATCACTTATTTCACAGTACATCTTCACTCTGATCCAAGAGGTTCACAACAGTGTTGGGCACTTGAACACTTTGTAACAGTGGAAGGCTGTTGAACACACAGTAACAGTGTTGGGCTGTTGAATACTCACTGCACAGAGGACGGGAGTGATAAAGGTCCAGCTCCATTTCATCCACGGGTTAGGTCGGTAGCCAATCATGTCTTCAATCGCATCATAGAAATTATCAGCGCCTGTCAACAATACAGAAGAACAGACTTGTTAGAGACACGCTCCTAGTCTCCTATACATTAAAGTTAACCATCATATAAGACCTGTGCATTTTCTCAAGGTAAAACATCAGGGTGACATCTCACAATCAACTATAAACAGAATCAGTATATCTTCATCTCTAGACCATGAAAAGAGCTACAGTACAGGGTGTGGTGCCATCATAGCCTCTATAAACACCCTCATCTACCTACTGGCTGTTCCATGAAGGCATATGGCATGAACAATCTCTCTCTAGCTTACTGTTAACCATTACAAAATGAGGAACAGGTTCCGCTCAACAATAAGAGACAACCTCTGTTATGGCCTATGTGCAATTGCATCTTAAAACGATTATCTACAAAACCAGCATGCTTGCTCTCTTAATAATAGCAACGGCTATCACAGCGCTACTAAAAACACCTCTAGAAAAGGCATTTGGGTTGCTGTGCTCCTGTTCACCTCATTATAAAGGTCACTGTGCGGAGGTGGCATAGTTCTTAATAATTTGTCTTCAATAGAAGCCAATGGAAGCCAATGGGTTACGCGTGGAAGCCAATTCAAGTGATTTACTTTAAGCGTGAAAAGGAACAGCAAGGGTATTGTTTACCGCACGCCAGGTCATAACTCATGCATTGTTGTTGTTGTTGTTGCTGCTGTTTAACCCTTTAAAAACGGAATATTAACGTTTGTTTCCTAAATGTAGGCTACACACTTGATTTGGCAAAAAGGGCACAAACTTACCATAAACCCAGGCTACAGCAATACATTCAAAGAATGCAACCCACAAAAGGCACACACCACTGGCTGCATAGTAGTCAAAGAGTTGAAAGACATACATGCCACCCTGAAAAGAATGAAGATAGCAAAAGTTAGTTTCCTGAAAGAGGGAGAGAGAGAAATGTGGTTGGACATGTGAAGGAAAAATTGGAGGAGGTTGATACATAAGAATGCTGACACTGGGCCAATGAAAGGAGAGTTCAACAGGTGGTGAGATGTCAGTGAAGTAAAGTTAACTGCTAACTGGAAAATTACATTCCAAATTGTTCCATTCATGATGCCAAACACACAGGATGTGCTTTGAGAGCTCGGAAGTAGAAACCCCATATTTGGTTGCAAAAGTGTGACAACGGCAAAGCATGTGGAAAAAGTAATGTGATGTTATCTATCTTTGTCACGAATTCTGCCGAGGCTGCCTCCCCTCCTTGTTCGGGCAGGCTTCGGCGTTCGTCGTCACCGGAGTACTAACCACTGCCGCCCCAATCATCATATCAATTGTCTTGTCAATCACACACACCTGGTTCTTATCCCCTCATTAGTCTGTGTATAAGTGTTCCCTCTGCCCCCTTGTCCTGGTGGGTGATTGTTTGTTGTGGAGGTTAGTAGCTCGGTAGAGCGCTTGTATTTGGTATCGACGGGAGTATTTTTCCCGTTTGCCTTGTATTTTCCAGTGCACCTGTTTTGTGCCCTTGAGTGTGATTGACGCATTTCTGCGTAAACCTGTATTTTTCGGATTAAAGCCTGTTTCTGTGATTTACCGTCCTGCGCCTGACTCCTTCAACACCACCTTATCACATTCTTGTACGCTAACCTGAATTGCAATGATAGAATCTCAAGGTGTTTTATATACAGTCAGGTCCATGATTATTGGCACTCTTGATAAAGATGAGCAAAAAATATAATAATAAATAATACAAATATTGAGCTATATTGTACAGTATTGCTCAATAAAATGGGGAAATTATATTATTTTATACTAATACAGTTGCTCAGAGAAACAAGTAAGCACCACTGTTTTCAATACTCTAGAACCCTCGCCTTGGTAGGATAACGACACTAAGATTATTTTCTTAATGCTTGTTAAACAAAATCTCTTTCTCTGAGCAATTGTATTAGTGTAAAATAATATTATTTGCACTTATTTTTTTGCATACAATATAACTCAGTATATGTATAATTTTTTTTATACAGTATTTTCTCTTAATCTTTATCCAGGGTGACAATAATTATGGACCTGACTGTAAATGCCTATATTGAAGTGCTGTTGCTGTAGGTGAACTTACTTTCATTACAATGGTCCCAGAAGTGATAGTATGTCAAGGTCTAATACACCTTAAATGTAAGGTAAGAACAACATGTAGTGCATAAAGTTGTTGTTATTATTATTATTATTGTTTTTTAGGGGGTAGATCAGCTTTAATATTGCAGATAGATTGTAACTGCCGTCAATGTAATTGTCTGCATCACTTCCAATCCCCCATATGTTTTTTTTTCTATTTTTTTTTTTCTCGCATTGTCACGGTTTCTGCCGAGGCTGCTCCTTCTCCTTGTTCGGGCAGGCTTCGGCGGTCGTCGTCCCCGGAGTACTAGCTGCCACCGTTCGTTGTTTCTGTGTTCGTTTGGTTTGGTCTGTTTTGTACACCTGTTTCTCATTTTGTCTTGATTATGTGTCCTTTAAGTTCTCGTTGTTTCTGTCTTGTGGTTGTGTGTAGTTGTTCGTTGTCAGCAGGTGATTCTATGTCAAGTTTGTGCTAATTTTTTCTAGTGAGAGTTCCGCACATTTGTGCGTGTTTGTTATTTACGCTTAGTGCGTTATTTTCCTTGTGCCTCCGGCTCTGTTTATAGCCGTTCATTCTGTGGACTCTATTAAAGCATTTTGGACTACTTCTGCATCCTGCATCTGATTTCCACACCACCCCTACGCCAGCTCTGACAGAACTACACACCAACTCATGGAATCAGCAGGAGCAGCAGCAGCGACCGAGTCATGGGAGGAGCGCGTCCGCGGACAGGATGACAGGATAGCTCAAATCACCAACGCTCTTCAGGGAGTAATGAACACCCTGCATCGCCTGGAGACCAGTTGGGCACCCACGCCTCCTCCCACATTACCACCAGCACCGGTCAGTCCATTAGTCCACGCTCCGGAACCCAGTGGGATTCGGCTCTCGCTCCCGAGGGCGTATGATGGTACCGCTGCCGGGTGTCAAGGTTTCCTCCTACAAGTTGAACTCGCCACCGTACACCCGGTGCCCTCGGGACACGAGAGCGTTTCCGCCCTCATCTCCTGTCTCACCGGCAAGGCGTTGGAGTGGGCCAACGCCGAATGGAGGAGAATAGACCCCGCGACGATCACCTATGCGGAGTTCTCCCGTCGCTTCAGGGCTGTATTCGATCATCCACCTGAGGGGAAGGCGGCGGGAGAACGTCTATTCTACCTCCGACAGGGGAAGAGGAGCGCCCAGGAGTTTGCACTGGAGTTCCGGACTCTAGCGGCAGATGCAGGGTGGAATGAGCGGGCCCTCATAGACCACTTCCGCTGCAGCCTACGGGAGGACGTCCATCGTGAGTTGGCCTGCAGGGACACCACCCTCACGTTTGACCAGTTGGTGGATATGGCCATTCGCCTAGACACCCTGCTGGCCACCCGCGGACGTCCTGAGTGGGGGTCGTCCATTCCACCCTCCAGCACCTCCGAGCCTAGTCCTATGGAGCTCGGGGGTGCTGGCGCTAGAGAGGAGAGGAGAAGGAGCCCCAGGGGGACCAACCCCTGTACCAACTGTGGCCGTGGAGGACACACTGCGGCCAGGTGCTGGGGGGGGTCTCCTAGGGGACGAGACGGCAGGCCACGCACTGGGGAGTCCTTCCAGGTGAGTAGGCGCCCCACTTACCCAGAGCTCTCTGTTGTGCACCTAACCATACCTGTTTGCTTCCCACAGGTTGCACCTCGTTCCCAGCATAAGGCGCTAGTAGATTCAGGCGCAGCTGGGAATTTTATAGATCGGAGATTTTGTGCAGAGTTAGGGATTCCCCTCCTTCCTGTCAACAATCCTTTCCCTGTACATGCTCTAGATAGCCGTCCGTTGGTATCGGGGTTGATTAGGGAGGTCACAGCTCCACTTAGGATGGGGACGCAGGAGGGTCATGAGGAGACTATACAGCTATATCTTATTGACTCTCCTGCGTATCCGGTGGTGCTGGGGCTTCCCTGGTTGATTACCCATAATCCCTCTATTTCGTGGCAACAGAGGGCTCTTAAGGAGTGGTCTGCTCAGTGCGTAGGGCGATGTCTGGGCGTTTCCGTAGGGGCGACCTCGGTGGAGAGTCCAAACCAAGTGCCCGCATTGCACATTCCCCCCGAGTATGAGGATTTAGCACTTGTGTTTAGTAAGGCGAAGGCGACGCAATTGCCACCACATAGACAGGGGGATTGTGCGATAGACCTCCAGGTAGGAGCTGCGCTTCCGCGGAGCCATGTGTATCCTTTGTCTCAAGAGGAGAAGAGAGCTATGGAGACTTACATAGCCGAGTCTCTGAGACAGGGATACATACGGCCCTCCATTTCCCCTGCGTCCTCAAGTTTCTTTTTTGTGAAGAAAAAGGATGGAGGTTTGCGCCCGTGTATTGATTACCGCAGTCTCAATCAGATTACTGTGAAATACAGTTATCCACTCCCTCTGATTGCGACTATGACGGAGTCTTTACACGGGGCACGGTTCTTCACAAAATTGGACCTCAGGAGCGCATACAACTTGGTGCGTATTAGGGAGGGAGACGAATGGAAGACAGCGTTTAGTACCACCTCGGGTCATTACGAGTATCTCGTCATGCCATATGGGTTAATGAATGCTCCTTCAGTCTTCCAATCCTTCGTAGATGAGATCTTCCGGGATATGCAGGGGCAAGGAGTGGTCGTGTACATTGACGACATTCTGGTGTATTCTTCTACTCGAGCCGAGCATGTAGCCCTGGTGCGCCGAGTGTTGAGGAGATTGTTGGAGCATGACCTATATGTCAAGGCAGAGAAATGTCTGTTTTTCCAGGAGTCTGTCTCCTTTTTGGGTTATCAGTTGTCTGCGTCAGGGGTTAAGATGGAGGTTGACCGTGTGTCGGCCGTGCGTAATTGGCAAACTCCAACTACTGTTAAAGAGGTGCAGCGGTTCTTGGGCTTTGCGAATTACTACAGGAGGTTTATCCGGGGTTTTGGACAGGTGGCAGCTCCCATAACATCTCTTCTAAAGGGAGGTCCGGTGCGCTTGCAGTGGTCTGCTGAGGCGGATAGGGCTTTTGGGAGACTGAAGGACCTGTTTACCTCGGCGCCGGTGCTGGCGCATCCGGATCCCGCGCTAACATTCCAGGTCGAGGTAGACGCGTCTGAAGCCGGTATAGGGGCCGTGCTCTCGCAACGGTCTGGCACGCCACCGAAACTCCGCCCCTGTGCTTTTTACTCTAAAAAGCTCAGTCCGGCGGAGCGAAATTATGACGTGGGGGACAGGGAGTTGCTAGCCGTGGTCCAGGCCCTAAAGGTGTGGAGGCATTGGCTTGAGGGGGCTCAACACCCTTTCCTCATTTTGACCGACCACCGAAACCTGGAGTACATCCGGGCAGCTAGGAGACTGAACCCTCGCCAGGCTAGGTGGAACATGTTTCTAACCCGGTTCGTTTTTAAGATCACGTACATCCCTGGGTCCCAGAACGGTAAGGCAGATGCCCTGTCCCGGCGGTATGACACGGAGGAGAGGTCCGTTGAGCCCACGCCCATACTCCCGCCGTCTTGCCTGGTGGCACCGGTGGTATGGGAGGTCGATTCCGAAATCGAGCGGGCGTTGCGTACCGATCCTAGCCCTCCACAGTGTCCTGCGGGTCGGACGTACGTTCCGCTCGAGGTTCGGGATCGACTTATATATTGGGCTCACACGTCACCCTCCTCTGGACATCCAGGGATTGGCCGGACGGTGCACTGTCTTAGCGCTAAGTACTGGTGGCCAATGTTAGCCAGGGATGTGAGGGTTTATGTTTCCTCCTGCTCGGTGTGTGCCCAGTGTAAGGCACCCAGACACCTGCCCC